CTATTTGCTGCTTTCAAACGTTCCATTTACATTTGCCTGGCGGCCCTCATACGTTGCACTGAGTCTGAAACGGCGCGATGGGCCTCGTACGCACTGCTGTGCACCTATATGTAGCTTCTAATATAGTTACCGACCCTTGCCGCAAGACCGGCCTAACGAAAGGGTCAATCACGCTCGAAATGCGATTAATGCTCAATCCAACGTGCCATACGATTGTGCGTCTGATGTCACTAGTCAGTTTCTTCCGATCTCAATCTGATCATGGTCAGACTCAGCCTAGTTTTGGTGGAGTACCACTGACACTTCACTGATCGGCAAAAGTCTGGCTCATGAACGGCTGGTACTTGCCGCTTTAAGCCCCCGTGACGGAGCTTTCGGCATCGCATTGCAACACCGTTATAGCAACGATGTGCAACAAACTTTGGCATAGCCCGCCGAAAAACAACACTGAATTTCGGAAAATACCTTGCCGACAGACATGCCGATCGCAAGGAAAAGCAGCATTCGTTCGTTCTGGCTTTCCGCATCCTGGACACGGCCAAAACGTAAATTGCATGTGAGACTTGCAGGTTCAGTCGGCACCAGTTGGCCCCCTTCCCCGCCTTTGCACGAAGCTCGGACACCTTTTGACCTGGCGCACCTTGCACATCCTTGATACATCACAAAAGTACATATATACATATCCAGATACATCGCTTGAAGCGATCGCAATGCATAACGATCGATGACGAGGCTCGTATACGAGGAAGACAGATCCTCAAACTGTTGAGCCTGATCTAGATGCCCGCAAGCGTGAGACATTTGGTATCCCGTCTCCCCGCGCGCGCACCATACTCAGCTGGAAAGTTTGCGCATTTGGTTCGTGTCAAAGGGCTGTCCCGATCTGGATCAGGGATGAGACGAGCGCGAGCTTGGAGAAGCGAGGGATTGGCGTTGGTACGGGCTTTCTTTGCTCAGTAAAGTGGTTTCGGCAGCGCAATCGACGCAAGGCGCCCTAGGGCTCCGTCATGCCGCGGGGGCGCACGCACTGGACTCAGCTCTTTGCTGCCCTGCTGGGCTGGATAGGGAGCTTGGGCCTTACGGTCGTCTCTGCAGCGAAGCTCGAGTTTCCCCAAACCCTGGAGCGAGTCGTGTTTGGGGCTCTTGCTGTTCCGTACTGGATTAGTTGCAGCTTCCTTCGTTTTCGGATTCCCTTGCTCAATCATGACGAACATAGCTGTAGCACATAGAGTACAATCCACGCTTCCGCGGGTGAAGCAAAAGTTGAGCAGTGTTTTGGAAACCAGTTTACTTATTTCACAAAGCCGTTACTTTTGCATTACGGGTATTATGCAGCCCGTTTAACTTCACCCTGCGTTCCGCGGCGCCAAAAAGCAAAAAGGTGAGCAGTCCAGCGCCACTTTAGTTCGTCCTTTCTAGCCGCAAGAAGAAGCAAGAAAGGTAAATGTCGTCGGTGTTCCCCACCACCATATCTTGGGCATCCTTGCAGTGACACTCTTTTTTCTTATCCCGCGGATGATGGAGTGTTCGTTTTGTCCTTGCTTCTTCCTTTTCTCTGCAACACATTACTGTTCGGTACAGTACCGGTTCGGTCCGCAGCCGAGCCCGTTCACTGGCTCACACGTTGTCCAAATGCCGGATGTACTTCCTTCGCAGGTTGAAGCTGCAGTACATAGCCTTGTACATTGTGCAGCTCTATCAGAGAAAAGAAAATGAGTACAGGGGGGCTTGGAAGACAGCTAAAAACGCGTGTTACGTAGCTGTCAAAGTAAATAAGCAAAGGTAGTAACAGTAGATGAGGGGACGCGCAATGGGGCAGATCTGTACTTGGTGTCGCAGTCCGACTTGGTTCGGCCCTTTTCTCGCTCATGTCGTTAGCTCGCGGTGTTGCGCGCAATGGCTAGACCGTCGTGAGCATCAAATCGCGAACACGCAATCGCAGCGCCCCCCATCGATCGGTGAAGGCCTGCGTTACCGTCCCTTGAACCCCCTGACCATTGGCAAATCCAAGGAAAGAGGCCGACAGGTTCGTAGTACCTTTGTATTCGGGCCTACGTCAAGCAGTGGTGGCAGGTTGTAGCGCAAGAGGCTAGGAAACCTACACCCGAAAGTCAATTATCGCGTTAGATTGCTAGCTCTCGCCCTTGTCTCCATCGCAATTCGAAGATAATGTTGGGCTAGTCCGCCAATGGTGAAAAGGCTGAGAGCGTTCCGGTGACCTTTAATTTTTGCCCTAGCATCTAATGCACAATGTGCTGGCGATAAGCATCGAAAAGTTCATTACGATGTTCGCGGTGCTAGGTCATGCGGTACCCTGCATTAGATCGTCCACGTGATTGATATCTGATGCTGTGTAACACAGTACGGAACCGGCTAAGCAAGAGAACAAGAATGTCGAGGTACAGAGGTGACCACCGAAACCGCTTCGTGTGAGGTGCTCCCGACAACGTTGCCTGAGCACGCGTACTTCCAAGGTTACTTCTGAAATCATTCATGGCATTGCGGGCCGTTGTTCGCACCATTTGTTCGCCCTGAGGCTTGTGTCACGTGCCGTTTGATGGGCTGAGGCCTGTGTAAAGTGTTTTTCAACATCGCAGCTGACAAGTCTGAGCAACGCTGGTTTGCACGATAGGACATCGGATACACCTTCGCATCACTGTGTACAAGCGACAGTACGACGCACTCGCCCGTCATTGACGTACGCGTCCCGTCAATCTTGCACTCCCTGTCAGACGCACACATCCGTTGCTCCAGAAGTGTTCTTCGATTCCCAACAACGGATCTTCGCATGAACTGGTGTCGCAAATACCTTTGTTGGCAAATGGATCACGACTCAGGATGATGTGAGAATGGAAGCGGGATATACAGCTCGCCTCGGTGATGATTGCCAATTGGCGTCATTCAGCGATCATTGTCATGCGCTGCGCAGCAAGCGAACGTCTCGAATTTTCCCTATCCCGAGAATTCAGGATTGGCGAACGACTCAAACCGCAGCCGCGTACACCCACTGTTCCAGAGTGGCTGAGGTGAGTCTGCCGTACGCCTCACTATTGAGTCTTCATGCCTTGCGCAGGATGACGATAGTTTGGTAGGATATAGTGATAGCCCACTACGGGTGATGTTTTGCATGTTCGAGTCAATCCCACCCGCTGCCGTACCTGCACTAACGTTCCGGGCTCTTTAACCGTTGAAACATGGGTCGATGTTCGCAACATTGATGCCCATGACAGCCCCTGATGAGCACTCGCTTGACTCCAAACCATGGTAGATGCTGGATCGCCGGTGCTGGGATCATGGGCATTGTGCCTAGGATCCTGATGCGCTTGCCCCGGACCCCGTGCGGTTCAGGAACAGGCGATGTCGCATCTTGTCAAATGCTGAACGGCGACTATTACTAGGATCATGACTTTCCGTGTTGCGCATCCCGCGGCTTCGCGAACCAGGTCCCTGTAGGGGTTCCCTCGTTACGCCCTGGAGTTCGAGGAATTAAAGTTTCAACGGTCATCCGCGCCGAGTCAGGCAAGTGCCAGCGTCACCAACACTGACGTCTTGACACTTCGGCCGGCATAATCGGCGACCTGAATCCTACGCACGCGCCCACAAAGCGCGCGTTATTCGATAGGATCAGGATGGGTTTTGTTCGAGATGCAGGACAACTGTGCCGCAAAGGCAGAGAGAAGGCTGACTCGATCGCTGGTTATGTTCCGCGTAGTTGCTGCCCAACCGAATTTTGAAACACGTTAGCGGCAGGCTGTTCAGGAACGTGTTGCCAGGAACCGCAACCCTTGCGGAAGCGATAAGAGATAGACGGCTACGGGCTGAAGGCGCATGCGGGGTAACTGCTCTCGACGCTTTAGACTTCTCAGCCCACCCTCGCTTCTGCGATGTTCACTCACTGAAACCCCACGGTTGATACATCGCCTAAGTGAGGCTGAGTTATATTTGACCTTGGAACAAGGGTTCACGGCGTAGCCGAAGAGGAGCGCGGCGGTAAATGTGATCCGCAGGCAGAAACTCCAAGGCGCTCTGAACCAGAACCTTTGTTATCTCGCTAGGCGGGGCTTGATTGCTGATTGTATGAAGGTGCGGGGCTTAGACGAGCTCATCTTGATACGTGAAGGTGTGGTGAAGCTCGGAACGCTACGTTAGATAACCAGGGAAGATGCAACGTCGTCTACAGTCCTTGACTCTCTTCAGGATCATGCGATGGTACTGCATCGTGAGCTCGCATCGTAACTGCGACGGAGCTGGGCACGTAGTCACCTCGTATTCGATTAGTTGAATTTATGTACCATGGCACGCCCTGACAACGCATGTCGCTTGTTGTCCAATATCTACCTTTAAGGCTCCCGGTTGTATGCATTTTATCCCCGCGCAGATGTACAGATGACACGGACCGTCGCGCTCACCGAGCGACATGCAGATTGTTCAAGGCCCTCATTCGCAGTAAGTCTGCGTGAGTGGTGTCTTCCCTGCCGCATACCAACACTACCAAGATTGAGTGCTGCAGCAATCATGGTAAAGCAGCTCGAACTAAGCGATGGCTTGGTGAAAGATGTGCACGGTGGGGCACCTCGTGGTTCATTCTTTGTAGTTTCCGTCCGGCAATATCCCGAATAGTCAGGTGCTCGCCACGGCATGCAGCCAGCCCGGAGTCTGGATGCCATGTGCCTCAACAATTTTCTTAGGGAATTTTTTGATTGGTCGATACCCCTCTTTTACGGTCAGCGGTGTACCTTTCCCACCACACTTTGCTACGAGCGCACTATGAGTTGGTATACGTGGAAGTGCACGAAGCTGCAGTTTCGCCGCTTTAGTGAGTTGCCTTGTGCTGGTTTGATGGAAGTATGTATGCGATACAAGGATTGGAGTTCACCCTCGTCGAACGGGGTATGAACGGCGAAGGTGACTGCGCGACGGGCCGTGCCCAGCGTTCGAGTATCTGGCGGTGAAAGTTCGTAATGTATGGGGTTCTAACTTTCGGAAGCATGAGAACAGCATCAGCTAATGCGCTCCTCCAACAGATCCTTTACGCCTTGTTCTCCCAACTCCGGAAACAGACGCAGAACAATCAGCTCAACGATCTGAAAGACGAGGTGCTTGTTGAGATAAGCGTCATCGAGACAGTCTAGTGTGTTTGCGATCTGTCGAACCTGCTCATCGCGCTCGTAGCTCGCAAAGAAAGCGGCTGCTACTTTCGGTGGTACCAAGTCAAGTAGTCTGGCGGCACAGCAGCGCTTGATCTCCTTGATTTCCTCATACGTTGGAATCTGACGTGGGGGCCCGAGCGCGTTGTTAGGGAAGAGTGTTGCACGAAGAGTCCGAAGCGCCACGGGAAGGAAAGCGGGGTTCAAGATCTGCGTGTGGAAAGTATGAGCGAGGAATCTGCAATCGCGACTGGTTAGCAGATGAGATTTCGATATGGCTAGATTGACTGGTGCGAGATAGGCAGGACGGGTGCGGTAGGAGTTGGACGGATGAAGGAGTCCGCGGGGCGTTCAGCTGGTGACCGCGAATGATGATGTCTGCGGTAGCAGGCCCGGAGCATCGGACGAGAATCGAGTCGAGTTGTTGACGCGGCCCATAAAGTGAGGCGCACGCCCATAGCAAGCGAGATTGATGGTCATGCCACTATGCAACTTAAAGCAGGATGTCGTCGTGATGGATTGAAAAAGCCATTCCCAATCTTTCGGGAACAGCATCATTCGCCGACTGTTTCAATGCGCTGCTCAAACAAACTAAGACCATATTGAAGTCCGAGGAGTACGTGCAGGATCCTCAACAGGATGACGGTAGCGATGAAGGCCGAAGAATGAGGCGTAATCAGCTGTTGGCGGGATTCATGGTAGGGCCAGAGTTTGTGGCCAATGTCGTGCTCGAACTCTGTACGGCCAGTCCCGAGAGGGACGACGGCCGGACGGTGTGAGCAGATCAACCGGCGCGTAAGCGGCCCTTCCACAAGAGCTAGCATCGCGATGACGGCTCAGGGAACAAAAGCCCTTCGCACGACCCGCAGTATTCTGTGGTCGCTGATGAGAGGCGCAGCACCAGGATTGGTCCGACCTTGATGCAGGCATCGTGTGGTCGCTCATGGTGTTGACAATGGCGACGGCCTAGAGTGTGCCAAGCCTCCTTGTCCGAAACGTGTCGAGTTGCCGCCCGGAACGGGTGCCGAGGCTTGCATAAAGCGGTGCGCCACGACAGGGTTGTTTTGGTGTGTGAGCCTGCGGGCCGTCGCATTCGCTGAAGCGAAGTCAAGTGACTTGAATCGTATGCGGAGCTATCTCATCCTGCGTCGCACGGTGCCACAGGGATTGACCAGCTAGCCAACCAGGGGATGCGAGTGAAGAAAGAGATATTATCGTAACTTACCTGTCCAATACACCATTGGTTTCACCCACCCTACCTGGGCCGAGCAGTGCTCCACGATGGAGCATGGAGATGAAGCCCAACAGCCAAGGCATGCGGACGTCTAACTCGGCAAGTTGCGCTACACAGCTCCACAGGCTCATGCTTACTACAGGCCGTTTGGCCTCCAACGGGCGCCTGGAAGCCATCTTTTCCGCTTCCAGTGCTTGCGATTGATTGGCTGCTTCTGCAGATGACTGCTCGGTTGTGGCAGATCTCAACGGAAGGGAAGATAATGTCGCAAGACTCAAGACCACCGCGCGCACCGCAGTAAACGCCAAAAAAGCGTATTGGATGATCGCCCAGAGTATACCCGAGATGTATAAGGCCGACGTCTTGTGACGACGCTGGCCGGCGTCCAGTGGCCCTTTTGGACTAATTTCTGACCCTTGATGCGTGGACAGCAGCCCGTAACGCTCAAGACGGGTTAACGACTGCTCCGCATCGGCATCGTCCGATTGGAAGTCCTTCTCTTTCGCAGCATCGGTCTGTAAAACCTCAGCTATTCTTGTGATGCCCTCCCAGAGCACCCATCCTTCACAGGCTTTTCCGCTAATGCCGTTTCCAAGGATCATCTCTGCGAATATTTCGCCTACCAGGGCGCGTAGACACCCATTTTTCAAGTCTTCTGTCGGTAGTAACAGGGCTAGCACGCCATGGATGAGTAGTTGGCGCCACGCCGACTCGCTTTCCCGCTGTTCAAGGACCGTCGCCGGAACATCATCGGTAGGCACAGGTGATAGTGCAGGGTGCGGGTGGAGCGTATGATATATCAGACGAGGATCTGATACTAGTGAAATTGACGAGGCGGCTTGAGTCTTCGCTATTCGGAATGCTGACAGGGAAGAATTAGACAAACTTCATGCGACAGTCCAAATTGAAATAACCTACAGGTCAGGTGGGCTTGGAGTAGCTCAGGTATCTCATCTAGCAATAGTGATTCGAGATCGACTTTCCTGAGGCGCTGCTCCAGACCTCGCGTACAATGAGCGATAATCTGGATCACTTCGTTGACAAATACTTGATCGGGAGTTATCTTCGAGTACCACGTCTGTACAAACTCCTTGATGATAACAGAGATGATGCCGTATAGTTGAAGGTCGACCTCGTTTGAGCTCGTCAAGGGTGGCAATACGTCTTCAATAGGACGAGGTGTACTGCGTCCTTTCTCGCCATTGCCAAGTAGCACATTGTGGGAGCAGAGAGTGCGCCGAATGAATGCTGCCGTGGATTTATCCGAGGTAGTATCTAATTGAGGCTTCTGTGTGTCTGCTGAGCGTGTTGCAGCCGCCACACGGGAGTGGTTTTGCACGTTGGTCCCCGTGGCTCCCGGGGTCGACGATGCTGAGGCCTGGTAGCTTGGTGGCTGCGCAAGAGGGACGTCTGGATCGCGGTTCGTACTCTCTGTCATTGCAACGTGATGTTCATCGTTGCCAACACCGAATGTAGTTTTCGACACGTGATAGCGCGCTGCGACACGATTCGAGATGAATGTCGTCGTGGAGTTGATACTGGCGAAGGAGCGATGACGACAGAAAGTCAACCACGGTCGGGATTAGCCGAGCCTTGGCGCGTTCCTCTTTGTGACGCGCGCCGCGTCGGTCATCGCACAGCACCAGCCTTCTGAAAACCAAACCTCACAGCACCACTTACTCTCCCGATCAAGATGGCAGCATTAAGCCCCGAATGTACGTAGTGCGGCAGTTCTTCGGCTAGTTCTAATGTATGCGATAGCGGCGATGATCGACGTGGAAGCTCAACTGAAAGACATCGTGCAAAACCTCTATAACCTCATCGTGCAAGCGTACGACCACCATGGAAGCAAGACGCAGGAGGCCATAAGGCGGGAGATGTATGCGATAGCTACACCTCGCGCATAAGCTTTTGAGGCTAACCGTACCGTAGCCAGTCGCTCGTTCAGAACCTGGTTAAATTGTCGAGGACAGCGCCGTCCGTGAACATCAACATTCCTCCAGAGGTCATGTCCTACGTTGAGAACTCCAGGAACCCGGATATCTTCACGCGCGAATTTGTTGAGACCGTGCAGCGAATGAACCAGATGTTGTACGGTCGCGTCGACGCATACCGAGCGCTTCAAGAACAGCTCGCCCTGCACGTCTCGAGCGCTATTCCAGAACTCAGAGAGGACGTGACCTCTGTTGTCGAGTCTACAGGCGGCAAGATGCGCGCCTAGGCTCATTACCTTCACTAGACCCAGGTGAATACCTTAAGCGGATTCAAAGTAGCTCCACAACCACAATATGGATGCTGGAACAGCACGGACACATGCGACGACCAAACTCAGATCACCGAATATACCAACGAGTACCACATAGCCAATGCATTTCGGGCGGTGCTAGTTACGACATGGTTGGTATACGGATCAACACTCCGACAGGTGGGGAAGTGCATCAATGAATGCGACCTCGTCCAGATGCTTGGTCACTCGACTCCGACAATACTCGGAGTAGTATTGGATGCTTCAGACATGGAGAAGATCCCCACAAAACACGAATGAAGATGTCGTTGTAGATGCTGTGCTCTTTTGGGAAAAGATATTGGCAGGGATTGCATTAACCAACACGTTACAACGAGCTTACTTCTCAGAAGGAACAACAACACTCTTAATCTACTAGATTTGATTGCAACTATCTCCATGCGTCCGTCACATCCGGCTGAGCCACATTGCATCCCTTGCTTCTGCTACCAATTCAGCATGGCGCGATGCTTCCTCTAGACGGCTGTTACACACGGCATTTCATTTATGTGCCGGGGTTAAACCATGTTACATTACATCGCATTCATCTCTAGCATTCTGCGTCATGTCTCTTCCCATTGTATTGTGCGATGAAGGATCTCGTACGACGTAAACCTTCGGCATCCTTGCATAACTGCACTCAATTTCGCAATGCCCAAAACGATGCTAGTTCTCGCTGATCCCGGGCACTCTTTGTGGAGATCTCGGCACTATTGAATATCAAGCACTTCATCGCTCACATTCAGCGTTCCTTCAGATCCACTTCGGTTCTTTGTCATACTTACAAACCGTGTCTTCATATGAGACCTATGTCAATATGTGAAGCAGGTCTCTATCATGTATCAACGTATGGATGCTAAATTTAGTATAATTACAGCGGTGCGACAATAAGTGTTGGAAATCTCGGTCCGATGGAGATGTCATGCGTTGTGTTGACAGTCTACACGACTCGCTCGGCCGAGTTTCGCGTATAGCCTGACCATAGCAGTTCTTTCCAGGAAGCTATAGCGATACAATAACATGTGAAGGCAGACGCTCACATCATCCGCTCTGCTCACGCACCGACATTGGTTGGACTAAGTTCTAGTAAAATGGAGGTTTTGTTACTAACAGCAACATTAATCGGCCACCATTATCTGGTTACAACATAACACTGTTTGGATTACGCTGACCTAAAGCTTCGCCAAAGGTATCAATTCGTCCGAGCTGCGCACGCAACTTCACAGTTTTTGTCGATTATCTCATTGACGCGGGCACATCTTGATGAAGATGTGTATGCCTCAAACCCCTCTTGGTGACGTTTATATGTCATTTCGCATTCTTCACCTTTCCCTGATCAACTTACTGCACCCCATTTTGGACAGATGTGAAGCCACGCACCACTATCACTGAACCGGAAAGAGGCTGCCGTTGAATCTAGAGGAAAAGCTCCTGCAAACGCTTGTACGATTTCTCCAGCCCGTATGGCACTACATCGGCTTCGCATGCTTCTCTCTGTACCTTACAAGATCTCATAGATGTCTTCAGCAAACCTTTTGACTCTTGCTACTTCCGTACACATCCGTGTGGTATGGTCATTCACTGTCTGATTTTGGCTTACGGCACTCAAGCTCTACCATTCACTACTTAGCAACCGAATCGCCTGTGACATCATACGCATACAAACACTGTAGCTCTCTTATACACGGTTGCACCTGCTCTCTGGATTGATAGAGTCCTTTATCGCCTCTGTGCTTTACACTACGCACTCACTAGCAGTCCAAGATTCTTCAACCCGCTTAGCCCACAAACACTCCAAACACTAGCGAACGGACAAACAAACTGATCACGCCATAGTTTAGTCAACCGGATTCCAGAAAGAGTTGAAGGCCAACATGACGTCGTTTTTCTCCAGGCCAGTTGCTCCTACATGGACTTCCAGATGCCAGAATGCAGCGCCGCTCTTGTCGTCACCAGCGCCAGCGACCGCATCAAGTGTTGCGCATGAGATTTGCGACTCTCCAAATGCATTCGATCGTCCAGAAATCCAACGGCTCATATCATGGGAGATTGTCCCTTGTCTACATCGACTACCACCCTCCCCCGTTCCCAGCCGTTCGCCGAGCCCTGATCCGTCTCTCCCAGAACAACAACCCTCAGAACACATACTTCGTGAAGAGCCTCCAGAGACGAGGCCAGAGCTCTCATCATCTGACACCTGTCCCCAAATGAGCACTTCCTGGATATCTTTCGAAGAGATAACACATACTGAAGCCACTTACCCTCCTGAATACACCATACCCTTTGAGTTTGATACAGAAGCTTTTCCCCAGCACGCCCATCTCTTTCCTTCCTCACCAAACGGCACATGGCGTAATGAGTCCATTCACGCGTTGACGCATCCCACGGCTGTCGATTACGCAGCGCTATATGCGAAACTATGTACATTGGCCGAGGAAGCAACGGATGAGTTCGCTGCAAGATTAAACCGAGCATTCGAAGGTAGGGACGTACCGGCAATGCACGACCAGGTCATGCAGATCTTTCCTTCGGTCTCAATGCCGGATATGAGAGATATCGAGAAGGCCATAGATACTGGGTGTGACTGGGGAGAGGAACTGTTTGAGCAGAGAGGACGGAGGAGGACTAGAAGGTGGCGGTAAGTGAAGCGTAGGCAGAAGTTCGATGGAGAAAGGTGGTTCATAACCACCTTGTTCATAAGATCAAATCTCGGCATCCGGAAGGTTAGTGAAGCTAAATATTGTATTACATTAAATTATCTTCAATGCCTGAACGACCTTTTAAGAGAAACGAACATTAGTCTAACAGATCAACGCCGCCGCCGCCATGAAACCCCTCGCTAAATCAACAGTTTTGTCTATTTCGTAGCCGTACCAAAGTCTGCCTAGTCCTCTCGATGAAGACTACCTGCCCGTTGACGCATGGCAGAGTGTGGGTGCGCAGCCTCTTCCTCATCTCGGGGGCCACCAGCACCACTCTCTATAGAACCTCCAGCCTGCATGCCACTCGGTGTTCCGCCAAAGCTGACCAAAACAGACGGGTTGTCTGCCGTCAGGGCGTCCAATACGTCCAACTCGTGTGCTGTGAACCATTTCGGCATCAAGAATGTGCGTAGCGGGATGAGGGCGATAATGAGGACCGGAAAGCCGATAGCGGCAATGGTTTGCGAAATGGCGACTGTGCATGCGACACCAAGAATTTGAAGACCGATGAAAAGCCGGATCTTGTTGCGTGAGACGCGGTTGAGTGGGTTATCGCGCTGGATGAAGCGTTTCTCTGACATGAGGTAGAGCGCCTTGCTGACAATGCCGTTGGATTCTATGGAGCCCCACTATGATGAGATTAGCATATGGTATCGAGCTTGAAGATGGAATAACACGTACACCGACGACAAAAAACACTCCAGCAAAGACTGCCGCGGGCATGGTGTGAAGTACTATAAGTAAGGGCCCGGTCATGGTACCCCAGATGGCCATACCCATCAAGAAATGACTGATACGCTGCTCGACAACAGCAGTAGCCTTGACAAATGGCTTTCGGATCTCACCACCGTCTTCCGTTTTGGTGATCTCCAGCCTAGTCTCGTAAACGGTTAAAGAGTCTGTGTGTACGGGTGCTTGCGGAACCAGGCCGTTGGGAAGTGGAAGGCCGATGACGCCACCGACAAAGCATGTGCAGCCGAGAAGGAAAAAGTCCCAGTGAAAACCAGCGGGCTTTTTGAGGGGGTATTGGCGGGCCTGTGCGGTGAGGGATGACACATTCTGTTGCCGATGGTTAGCGTTCGCGTTCGCCAGTGCTAGAAGACGTGTATGACTTACGTGGTCGTAGTAGAACAAAAGCATCATCAAGAAGCCAAATGGCAAAGCCACGAAAACCCACTTGACGTCAAGATTCCAGAAGTCAATTACCCAGTTTCTATCCTGCGTCGGTGCAAAGGCCTTGCCGATAGGCACTCGGTATAGCCCAGTCTCCTCCAGACGTCCAGGAATATGCGAGAAACCGACCCAAAATAGGGTAGGGAAGACGAAGGAGTAATCGGCGACAATGCTACGAATGCCTGGGGTAAACACCGTACTGTTACCAAGCTTCTCAAGGCCGTAGACAGAGCCGAAGTAACATATCGCAATGACGATGGAGAGGTAGCCACCGTCAAACCCGGATTCTTGGAACAGATATACTAGCTCTTCAACGCCCTTGACTGAATGCAGGTCAATATCATGTCTTAATATGGCCAGTGACAGGATACATACCACAGTAGATAATCCCAACATACATGCCGAACGTCTCACTCGAGAAGTCAGTGACATAGGCCATGTAGTCGCTGAAGTTTCCGAAGGCTACGATCCAGTGAAAGATGGCAGCCCAAATTCCAACCCACGCGGTGAATGCTGGATAAATGGAAGGGTCATATCGGGTAACAATGTCGTAGATGGTGTAGTTGAAGAGCGCGATCAGACCAGTGACTCCTACGATGGTGAGGGGTTGGCACGCGAGCAGACTAAACACCATGGCTGCTAATGCGGACGAAAACAGGGCCTCGTTGATGCCAAAGAAACCGCCCGTTCGACGGTACATGTCGAGTGTGAACGCAATGGCAGGTAATACGCTATATTGGTCAGTCAGAGACTTGAGCGTCTATCGAGATAGACTTACTTTACGAAGTACATGCGAACTGTACTGGCGAAAGCTCTATAGGTGAGAGCATCGGTGATGTCGCTCCAATAGTAAGGTAGTCTTCTCTTGACATCGTGATACATGCCGCGACCAGGTTGGAGAATGCGCCATCTCCGCCATCCTCTCGCGCCTTGGAAGGTGTACGATTCGTGTGTTGCGGTCCTCTCTAGAATCTCCTTGCTGTTCGAATTTGTCGCGTCTGGCGAATCCATGATGACGGATATGCAAGTTGAATGGACTACAAACGGGCAATGGATGCGAAGCCGCAGAAACTAAAGCTGAAGGAAACCGATCGACGCAATAGATGTGTGCATAGTTTGATCCGGACCCTGAGCATCTAGTCTATATACGCGGGATCAAGTCCAATTACAGAAGCCGGCGCACTACGGCCCCAATGTCATAGCTAAGCTTGGCATCTGTGGAGATCGAGGTTTTGCCATCGATGGGCGAACTGCTTGTGCGCGGAAGGAGACATGATGATGACGTTTGACATGAAGACATTAGCCAAAGGCGGATGCTTGTCTCGAACGACAGTCTCTGCGCTTCCAACAGGATTCCGTTGTGGTCGTTCGCGATAAGCATGTTCATTGTTGAGACCATGTTTGGTTGTTTGGTGACGTCTGCCGGAGTAGAGGCCTCGCGCACGTGGTTAGCGTGGCCGTTAGTTCCCGTGCCATGCTGAGGAAGGTCGCCATCAGCCCTGTAGCCTGCGGCTTTTTTCTCTTTCTGCCCAGGCAGAGCAGCAACTTCGATGGTCTGGGTCAACGTGCACGTTACAACCCAAACTCCGCAACTACGACCATCGTTTGCGTGGCACCGTGCAGCTGTGACATTACTTCCAATTGGTCCAGACGTCTGTACCACACCAAAATGACGTACACGGCTCGCCGAGCGTATGACTGACGCCAAGCGCCATACCGCACGCGGTCAAGAGCGTTTCCATTCCACCCCGGTATCTTTAACAGCTGCTTGAGCAGAATTTCCATCGGCATCGTCACGTTTCCGCGCGCTCCTATTGCGGCATATAGAAAGAGGTGAACAGTGTCGCGACATTGCGACATTCGATCCGGTTGGACTTCGGACAGTTTGTTCAGCCCATGAACAGTCCACCGACCTTCCATTACCGCACGTCTGTAGCGAGTCTTGTTTCGCATCCGGAGGTATTTCTATGGTACGGAGATACCTCCACTGTAAAGTTTCTAGTGGGCATCGTGGTAGGTTTTAAATATATCACCCACCTACCCGCACAATGCTCAAGCTTCTTAGCGTCCGGTGTCAACTCCACAGGCTTAATTAATCGTCCGGAGTTTTATCGATACACCTCCTTAAGATGAACGCTCTCCAGGACGTCGATGGGCTTTCAGAATGCATCGGCAAGGCAATACAGGAACATCTTGCTAGATTTAACATCAACATTGCATGGCCGCAGCTCGACAACCTGGATCATCCCATCCTTCGTGTCGAGGCTTTTCTTGAGGAAGCTGATGCCACCCATGCAGCGAGAGCGCAGTCCGAAAAGATCGCATCGGTGAGTTACGTTCCCACCACACTCCAACTGCCAATGTGCAGTAGCGTGTGCTCACGCGTCCACAGAGAACCGTCGATCTGGCGGGCATGAGGACGCCAGCCCCCACAGCAAGCCCAGCCGCAATGGATCTTCAGAACTTTGATGAGACCTCGTCAATGGACGAGTCTCATTCGCGGGACGAGTCGTCCTCGTCGGTACAACAACCCCGCGAGCCCCGCAGGAAAGGCACTGGCGGTCTGAGGGTGTCGCACACACAGTCATCGTTTCAAGAAGACCTGAGCGAACACCAACGGCAAATGCAAGTCGATAGCCGCAGCTTCCCAAAGCGGAAGAAGGTACGTGTATTCTCTCAGCGACATCATGTCAGCCTAGGAAAAGACTGAACACCCCGGAGCCTACATTAAGGTGAAAACATACAAAGTAGGTGGCCCAAGGTCAACGTAGGCTCTAGGGTGTTTGGTTTCTCCATTGTATGAGGTGACATCGTTCTCTCAGGCACTTGCCAGACCCTCAGTGGGGGAACGGGTGGACTGCTTTTTCGTGCACCTATGCTCACCCATCTTCACCTAGCTAACTATTTCCAGGTAGCATCGGAGAAGTTTGTCTTCCAACCGTCTACTTTGGACAAGCTCATCATCGGCATCTGGGAGCAAGTACATAGCACGCTCAACCTCGATCCGAAAGCAATCTTCGAACAATTCCAAGTAACGCCCAATGGATCCTCCATGAGTATGGGCATGGTCGGCCATGCGCACACCGATGAAACACCTTCCGCTATGGCAGTGCTCAACAACGCTCCGAATCCGATATCCGAATCCTTCAGTCAGATGAATGTCTTTTGTCGCAAAGTTACACAAGCGAGTCGCGTGTGCCGGTCCATCGAAATGATCGTACAAGCCCGCTGGGTCGAACTGTTTGAGGAACAGGTGCTATACCGGAGCCAATTGAGACCAGAGCTGTCAACAACAAAGCATAGGAAAGCTGTGTTCATGGAAGCGTGTCAGGACTTCGATTGGTCGGAGTAAGTAGAGACACCTGGGATTGCGCAAGCATCTTGGATCGCATTCGCTGACTGCTTTGCCACCCAGAAAGGAACTGCGCAACAAAATGGCCATTTGGCGTGGCTACAAAGAAGTGAAAGACTCAGCAGGTTGGGCTGCACTTGTCTTCGCTGGCATGGGCATATACCGGTTCTGCAAGTACCGAGTTGGCTTCGATAAGGATGCCATGCGCCGGCTACGGAATCTGCGAAAACGTCTCGAAGTCGCGGCCGATACCCTACATCCCCATTGGCGCCAGCTTTTGTCCATAGTGGGCGAATCGCAAACCCTTCAATACCCTGGCCATCCGCACGACTGGGTAGTCTTCGAAGACGGATCAGATCCTGTGCCACTGCGCCAAACATATCTGCTCCAAGACCCTTACTTTGCCTTCGAACACATCGACGAGTCGATCATCGATGAATCAGTTTGGGGATGCGAAGACCCACGCTGGACACCACAATCGAGCGCAGCGACAAGACCAGGCGGAGCCTACATCTGCGCTTTGTGTAACGAGCCGCAGTCCGACAAACCGCAAGACAACTCCTGTTTCTGTTTCCCGACCCTGTTTGGCTGTGTAAAGCGAAAGCCACCGCCTGTTCAGATCCTGCGGACTTCCGATGGCAGAAACAACGGTCTAGCTGCATTGACCTCCTTCGACCGTGGTACAGCAATCGGCGAGCTGGTTGGCCTGATCACAAACGGTGTTAGACATCTCGATGTGCTGGATAGCTCAACACCCCTGGCCAGCTATCAGATCTGGCAAGGAAGGGCAGGAAACTTCACTCGCTTCATCAACCACAGCTGCAAGCCGAATGCGCAATGCTCTACATTCACTTGGATAGATACCCAGAGGGTGGTTCTGGTCAGCAAGGGGATAGATGCGGGAAGAGAAATTACATTGGACTACGGAGACAAGTATTGGGCTGGGCTAGACAAGAGCTGTCTATGTGGAGAGAGTTGTTGCAGGTATAGGAGAAATGGAAGGATGAGATAACATTGTTGGAAGCGACTTGCTATGTTTAATGCACACTTGATAGAACACAGCGACCTTTTTAAACACCTGATGTATCCGAGCTGGGGCAAACGTCCTCTTGGTGCAATAATCGCAAATATTGGGTCCAAACGTGAAAGGCGCGTGTTGCAGTATCGATAAGACTAGCGCGACAGACCCCTGCACAAAATTTCGGAGACGCTCGAACCTGAACCATCAGCGTGTCTGCGAAACATCAACAACAACCATGGCGACTTCCGATTACAGCGAGTCCGGCGCGTCAGATCAGGAGATACTCGAGGCGCAATCCGGGGCCAGAAAGAGAAGGAGACTATCACCGACCGAGCCCGAGAGTTCAGCTTCCGAGGCTGAAGCTGAGAAGCCGCTGCCAGTAGCAGCACCAACGATCTCGCGCATCAAAGCGAAACAGCAAGACAAGTCGACAAATACCACCAGTTCTGCACCCAAAGTCAACCCGAAGCTGGATTTTGCGACGCTCAATGTAGCACCATGGCTTTGCACTTCTTTGGCCAGCATGGGTATCAAGCGCCCAACGGGCATTCAGGCATCCTGTATCCCTGAGATCCTCAAGGGGAAGGACTGTATTGGTGGATCGAGGACCGGTACAGGTAAAACTGTAGCGTTTTCTGTGCCGATAATGCAGAAATGGGCGGAGGATCCAAGCGGCATCTTCGCCGTTATTGTCACGTGAGTACAAACCGTTGCTGCCATGTGGGCAGTAGCTAACCGCCATGTAGGCCGACCCGCGAGCTCGCGATCCAGATTTACGAACAAGTGAAGGCAATTTCGGCGCCGCAATCTATGAAACCCATTCTCATCACCGGAGGATCAGACCAGCGGTCCCAAGCCATCGCTCTTGCTTCGCGTCCCCACGTTGTAATAGCGACACCAGGCCGTCTAGCAGAGCACATCCGCACCTCAGGCGAAGACACCATCTGCGGCCTCCGCCGCGTCCGCTTCGTCGTCTTTGACGAAGCCGACCGCCTACTCGCCCCAGGAAAAGGCTCCATGCTCCCCGATCTCGAGACGTGCCTCTCCGCGCTGCCCCCGAAAGAAACGCGGCAAACGCTCTTGTTCACGGCGACCGTAACGCCAGAGGTTCTGGCGCTGAAATCGCAACCGCGCGCACCGGGTCGTCTTCCCATCTTCGTGTCCGAGGTCGATACAGAAGATCTAGCGATTCCACCTAAGCTGCAGCAGAGGTACATCCAAACGCCCGTCACGCATAAAGAATGCTACCTGCACGTCCTGTTGAACACGCCCGAGAACCTCCAAAAGAGCGTCATAATCTTCTGCAACCGAACCAAAACAGCCACCCTACTAGAATACATGCTGCGTCTCCTCTCCCACCGCGTAACAGCCCTCCACTCGGGCCTCAAGCAAAACGACCGCGTGAGCAACCTCGCTCGCTTCCGCGCGCAAGCCGCTAGAATCCTAGTCGCCACCGACGTCGCAGCCCGCGGTCTAGATATCCCAGAGGTAGCTCTCGTTATCAACTTTGATGTACCCCGCGACCCAGACGATTACATCCATCGTGTTGGTCGTACGGCGCGTGCGGGCCGTGTGGGAACGAGTATCACGTTGATTGGACAGAGGGATGTGGAGTTGATTCTGGCGATTGAAGCGAGGGTGGGCAAGAAGATGGAGGAGTTTGAGGAGGAGGGTGTTAGTGTTGAAGGAAGGGTTGTAAGGGATGCGCTTAAGCCTGTGACGGAGAAGAAGAGGGAGGCGCTGTTGAGTATTGAGGAGGGGAGGGATGTGCTGGGGAAGCGCAAGGTGGGTATGCAGAGGAAGCGGGCGGAATAGGTGTATATGTCTGGTCAGGTTCGTGGTAGATGGCATGCATGGGTCAAGCGGTATCATCCAGGGCATTCCATACTCATGATAGTCAAATAGTACACATCGTATGCTCGTCGCTAGAACGCTATAGATCGATACATGAAACAAGGTACATTACCCATAACTTCGCTGCTCATGGCGACCCCTTCCTTGGCCTAAATACTGTGTTGAAGTTCTTCTGCGTAACGAACCAAGCGTTATGAGTCTTCCACTCAGCATCAGGGTGCTCGAGCTCGATCTGCAGCCAGTGTTAGTATCGTCCAATCTTCGATCTCATCATTAGTGAGACTTACCTCGAACCTCCTCAGAAAACTCGGCACAAGTTTGTAAATCTCAAGAAGACTAATGTTCTTGCCAATGCACGTCCTGGCTCCAGCACCGAATTGCAACATCGTGCCCTTCATCTCCTTAAGCTTATCAGGACTAGCCTCAATCCAGCGTTCAGGACGGAAGGTATCGACATCTACACCGAACACCTCCGGTCGGCGGTGGACGATCCAAGCGTTGCATCCGACAATGGTGCCACCGGGAATGAATTCGCCGCAGATCTGCATACCCTGCTTGGGTACAACGCGCTCGAGGATAAGGCCGGGCGCGGGGTGGAGACGGAAAGACTCTTGAATAACAGCGTCAAGGTAAGTGAGCTTTTGGGCTTCAGGCCAAGAGACGGTCTTGTCAGGGCGAGACTCGACAATGCCATCTGCTACGGCGGTATCCAATTCTTGCATGAGCTTCGCATAGACACGCGGGTGCTTGACAAGGAAGTAGAAGACGGCTGAAAGCGAGATGGCGGTTGTTTCTGAGCCAGCGAAGACCATAGATGTGCATGTCGACAGGATGCGGTTATCGTCCATAAATTCATGGTCGTGGCTTGCTTGCGCAAACTTGGAGAGGAGGTCGATACCATGAGGGTTTGCCTTTTCGTCGTCGGAGAGGCCGAAGCGCTTAATCTTCTCGACTTGTGTGGCTCGCTCGTTCGATCGGTTCAGGGCGAAGAGAGTGACGGGGTGGACACGCTTGTCCAGGCCGATGCGCTGTGCGAGGAGGCTGATGGGGTTCTTCCAGAGAAGACGGTCGAGGATAGGAATTTGACCGACCTGAAAACGCGTAAGTATGACCCCGTACATGCCAGGTTCTGCTTGTGACGACTTACCGGTGCGACATAGTCAAAGAACTTGCCCAAGAAGCCAATGATGTTGTCCACGTCCTTGTTTCCTTCGACAAAACCCAGTCGCTTACTCCACGTCAACTCGCCGATAACGTCGAAGGCGAAGAACTGCAGCCATTGACTGAAGTTGCAGCTCTGGCCAGTCTTCGCGTACATGTCCTCCGTCTTGTCCAGCCAGTATGTGAGTGTCGAGCTGACGAGAGGCTCGTAGTTGACGAGCGAACTCATGGAAAAGGCGTTGTTGACGCATCGGCGGTACTTTGCGTGGAAGTCTTCGTCGGTGGTGGAGAAGAGGGAGAGCAGCGGCGCGCCTTTTGAAACGGCGCCTTGGACGGGGTAGAAGTCGGACTGGAAATGTTAGCTGTCGCTCAAAAGATCGACCGAGACGTGCGTACCTTGGTAACACCCTTATTCAAGCCATAGATAGCCTTGATAGCCTTTGGATCCGCGAAAGACAGGACGTTCGGTCCCAGCCTGACGATGTCTCCATGCTTGCGGTGCAACGCGAGGTTGGTCCATTGATGATTGTGCTTCGACACATCCCACAGCCGCCACCAGTTGGTGTATCCCGCAGCCCAGTGTCCAGGGTATTTGTTCAGGCCGTTCCAGTACTTGTTGTTGAGGAGATATGCGATGGTGGTCGTAGCCAGAACAAGCGGCCAGTACTGCACCAGCAGCGGCACGATCTCGTTGGCCAGCATGTCGCGCGATCAATCTACCCGGTAATAAGGTATTCGATCCGGGGTCCAGATAACGGTAACACGTGAGTAGGTATATAGCAGAGTAAGCAGCGCGATACGTATAGAACGCTCGCCCGGGGCAAAAGCTCATATTAATGGCAGCCAGCCGTCCGGCGTGTGCCGCCCACTTCCCGCGTCGTCAGGCAGTCGGGTCGGAGTCGGAATCGCCATCGTAACGCGTCTGGGTGCTTGCGCAGGACTGTGTGTGTCGGCAGTTGATAGCTGAGGCGTGAGATGATGAAGGTGGGTCGGTGGCTGGATTCGCGCGGCTTGGAAGGATGACGCGGGGACAGTAGCTCCGGGGCGCTTTCGCGGGGTAAACCTCGTCCATCACACTGAACGCCCATCCTCAGCCCTACTCATTGGCCTCAAAACTCGGTTATCGCGATGCATCCAATTTATCTGCCTGACTCTGATTGGCTAAATCGCCTGTGTACAACACCACGCGGGATTGAAGTGATCGCAAACCCAAGTCTCTCACAACGCCTCTAGATTCGGCGCAGCATCGCCAATGTGCTCTGTGCTATTCTTGAACTGCCGATTATCGTCACTTCGACAGCTAAACCTTGTGTGAGACGATAGCGAGGGTTTGTGGACTTTTGTCCGTCGGCAGTTGTATTCCAATGTCATAATTGCAACTGCCGATATCTGAAGGGGGAATGGGCGCCGAAGCCTCCGAGGCCTCGTCACGTGGCTCCGGCTACAGCTCGCCCTCGGCTGTCGTACAACCTTTCCAGCAGTCTGTGAGGATCACGAAATTCTTTTTTGTGTTCGTGCGAGTTGTAGATGCGTTCGACGATCGGCAAGAATGTGCGCAATTTGTGAGCAATGCATCGTCTGGTAACAAGCTCATTAGAAGCACAGATTGCGGAATACGCGTATGGGTTTTACCGTAATGGTGGACAAGTCAAGTTGCATGTCTTGCATATAAACATGGGCAAAACCCAGCTGTGTAACCCGGATGTATGCAAGCCCAGCAGAGTCTCGACGTCAGCGGCCCTCCCGCACCTACCTTCCGCCTGCATCACATTCCGCATCACGAGAAAACTAAATTGTCTAGTCCAACCTGACGAGGGAAGTAGAGACTGAGTCAAAGTTGGCACGAAGGAGTCATGATCAAAGATTTGTATTGCTAGTATAGAGCAGTAGTACTTCTTGCATAATGTTGTGTCATGCAAAAGTGTCGACTACCATCAACAGCTTAGCCGGTGTTGAACCGACTGAAGCCATCCTGTGCACCAGTAAAAGAAAACCATACTAGAAGGATGAGAGCCAACAATCCGATCCGTGGGAATGTATGGCTGCTTAGCCAGTGCACTGGTAGTCATAGTTCATGCGCGAAGCATCCGTATCCTTGGGAACATAAATAGTAACCCTCCGACCATCCGCCTCAAGCGTACCCACATACGAGTCAAAGAAGGGACGCCAGTAAACCTGACCAGTTCCACCAGGGCAATCAATGTTGATGGTAACAGACGTGGTGCTCGTCATGGTTGTCGAGAAACCAGCGGAAACGCCAATCTCTGCGCTGACTGCATCCCATGCGCTTGCACCCAGACTGGCGCTTGCCGTAATGGAAAAGGTCTCTGACTTTGCTTCTGAGACTGTGTAGGCGCCGTTGTTGGGGACTTGGGCGACGAAGACGGCGGAGCCGGGCATGTAGACGTTGTAGGATGTGACGACGTCTGAGAACCTGTCCGCTTGCTGCGTCGTATATGGTTAGCTTTCGGAGAAAGAGTGTGATGAAGCTGATGTACATACTCGGCTCTCCAATCCATTGACTTCAGATGTGGGGGCAATCTCCGCCACCAGGCTTTGAAGCTCAGCTTTGTTCTCTTCGACAGTAATCTCCTTGTAGCTGGTTGCTGTAGCCATAGACATCAAGCGCCATTCAGTGGCGAGCCTGATGGCGACCTCAGTCCAATCCGCAGGCGGAGCTGGCGACTGGTAGCCACCCGTATCCTCTGCGCAGCCATCCTCGATGGCTCTAGCTCTTCCACCCCAGCTAGAGGCAGAATCGCAGACTTCGTACTCCTCGTTGTTGCAGAATGAGATGCGGCAGTTGCCTCGGGTCCAGATGCGGCATTCTCTTGGGATGACGCAGACACTCATGTCTGGGTTAGTGCCCTCGCCAAAATAGCCGTTGCCACTCATGATGTTGCGGCCTGTTCATGGGAAGAAAACTTAGTATTACTCTTCAATGTGATGATTTTGGAAGCAAGAGGGATCGGAGTACTCACAGTCAGCCCAGTTGGGCTGCAATCTTGCCTCGCAGAAGATACCGCCAGTCTGCGTTCCGTCCCAGTCCTCTTGACGAGGAGCAATTGGGGAAGAAGTTCCCATTGCCGCAAGCATCGGCAAAAGGGTGAGAATGTAGTTCATCATGTCGAAGATGGAGTCTTGAGGTCGAGGATGAACCAGGTGATCTGAGAAGAAGGTGTTTGGCTGTGATGATAGGATTGAGAGCAAAATCATACCTCTTTATACCTTTTTGCCCTTCCATCTGCCTCACGAGCATCCGTGTATCCAGCGTCATGGCTGGCCTGACTATGCACAATGTCTACTATCGAACATGGGATGTGGTTTGCCTTGAACGAGAACCACAGCTCTGAAATCTAGCGATTGGTCCTCTAGTACACTATCGTTCATGTGCATACCTCTGGGGGCCAGAAGTGATGCGCTACCGAGAGTATACGATACTTGGCTGCTGTCATCCAGTGTCTTAGAACGATTGTCTAAGATTAGCAGAGCCTCTTGCCAGGCAGAAGCATCCGAGTTTCCCGGTGGTGGTGAATTTGGGTGAGTGGAGAAGGGGCTGAAATGAAGACCTCAGATATCTCGATCGCAGGACGATATCACAGTCCCAATAAGTTCTCGTGGTGCGTGCTCCTCTAGGACTCCAGTGCCTTCCATTTGTACGTCTTGCAGAGATATGACAGGGCAGACGTCATGAATCGAATATTTCCCATCATCCCATATGTTTTCAAAGAGAATTCGACAAGACTGAGCCAACCTCCTCTTTCAGCTTCATCGTACGCCCTTCGAGGCAGCCCGGCATGGACATGCATCGGCTAACACGGCGCGGGCCTAACATCCCCACGTTTCTCTTCCCAAGGCTCTTCTCTGGTCGAAAGATTCGTAAAGGCAACGGCAAGTCCGATGTACGTGTGTAGGCAAGGTTTGTTTGCCTCGAGGCGAAGAAGAGGAACCAAGACGACCGCCAAGAGCCAAGCATCCCGATCACTCCACAACCACCATGATTGTTCGTCTCTTAAGGGTTATTTCCCCACAGTAAGCTGCTCAATGTAGCGAAAACATGCGAATGTAACGAATGCGATGCAACCTGTTCACGTTAGTTTGAACATATTTACGCCCTGCAGGTGCAACGGGGCGGACTACTAATGAGTTCACACTGACCTCATGTGCAGACCATCCGATTACCCGTCTGGAAGACAGCGGAGCCTCTCATCCTTTCCCAAGACGTAGTCGCCAGTTGATGCCTCGCGGGGGGCCTGTTGCGGTGCGAGCCGCACACCCGTCACTGCAGGTACCTTGATGTCCTCTCCGCTCTTGGCGAACTCCGCTAGAAGACTGCTACGTCATGTTAGGTCCACCGTGAGGCTGATTCATACAGCAATGTAAAGACGGCATGTGCCTACCTCGAAATGTCTTTGATGCTTGACACTTCCACTCATTCCGGGTTGTGTTGACCATCATGACCAATTTCGTTCTGCTAGCCGCATCGCTCCTTCTTAATTCATGTTCAGCGCAAGAATCGAATGACACATCTTTGGAAAAATGTCAAGGCCCCATCAACAGTATCGCCAACGGCGACCAGTACTCCAACTCGACCGGAACAGCCCGCCTACCCTCAAACCCAATACACGATGATGACTGGTACGTCAGCGTCACCATCACCGATAGACGCGATCCGAATCACATCTACGGGACCGAAATGCCCTGGCAAGAGAGAGAAGCGTTTATAAGTGTTCCTGATTCGCTGGCTGGAAGTCAAGATGGTAATCAGACCGAGTACTGCGTCTACGAACTCCCGGGCCAAGATGCCTCTTCGCAGCAGGAAGCTGGAGATTGCAGCGGTGTGCTGAGCGACGACTGCATTGACGCCTTGATGAAGAATACGCCGGTCATGTCGGATGGCCAATGTTATAAGCCAGAGAATGTCGAAGACGCCTGTGGAATGGTTGCGTCGCAGCCAGTTGGTCAGTTTATTCCGCTCTTACTCCGTTCAGCGACAGCGTCTTTGCGGCTTGCTGGTCTGTTCATACATCGGACGTGTACTGACGTCGTGAAAAGGTACACCATCGAACTTCAACAGTACCGAGTGCAGTTTGTCCGAGATGCCACATGTCGATATACCGGACAATTATCGCACCTACTACGCCCACTACGTGCCTGTATCTGAAGGCGGGGGTGGTTACGAGAACTTCGACCTTTACGATAGGCACGTTCGCGAAGCAGTGCCCATGGTCTTCACCATCAAGTCTCCGGGTGGTACCATCGCCCACAAGGCTGTTTGTGTAGCACCAAACAATGTCGTTGACGGTAGCCGTGTTCCAGAGTCTGCTGCTGCTCAGTTGTCCTCCGGGGCTTCACTGGTAGCAGCTCTTACTGTTATGGCTTTTGTATCTGTTCTTTCCATAGCCTGAGATACGTTGACGTTTCTGTGTCTTTTATTTGCAGTTTGGAGTAATGACATTCGCATCTGGTGACCTGTACGATTAGCGTTGTAACGGTAGTAACACCGGGAATGACAGTCAAGCCGAGCATTCAGCACTGGTTAAAGTATGATCGGGTGATCCGCAATGTGTCAAAATCTCGGAGCTTGGAGCGACATGTTGTTATACAACTGGGTGGGTTGCGACAAAGTTTGGGGCGCGAGAAAAAGCAAAAGGATTGACGATATGTCGCTGCCTCGAGGCAATACCCGAATACCGTAGACATGTGATTGCAGATGGGGTCCTCGTCTCGCTACACCCGGTGGTGGGCTGTATATTGGAAGACTTGCGCGATAATGATTGTCGAGTCGACAGACGTGTATAGCCGAGATCCTGTCGTGAGAGTTTGCTTGAAGGGTTGTCAAGTGAATGTGTTAACCGAAAGCGGGAGGTGACAGTACTGTTACAGCAACTCCTGACGAGGGAGCGTATTGGGATCTGAGATCAGCTATCATCTAGCCGAAGATCTGCAAGACCTTTGACTCGTCAACACCTGTCAGCCTTGATTCCTTGGGGCTACACTCCATGATTATCTACCCACGCGTGCATAACTTCTCATCAGCCTGAACACTGCACTTACTTCTCCGCGGCAGTGCACAACGACGACGGCTGATTATTTCCGACTAGAAGAAATATGAGGCTTCGGTGGGTACGTCAGCGGCTGCGTAAGAGGGTCTAGATGCGACAGTGTAAAAGCGAAGTTGCGATCCCAGCATACAAGTCTAGCCGAAACGACGAGCAGTATGGCGAAGCGCCGACAAAGCTCAACAATCATGCCCTGCCTGCGCTCCGCTCAAAAAGGCAGATTAGAGTCCAGGAACATGGCTTGACAAGCGACGACTACCGATCGCCTGTGGGTGCAACCCCATTTGGTTTCAAGGTTCCCGTCGATTAGTCGATGAAGTTGCGAACGACGGGCCAGCCATACCACTAGGACGACGATCCGACACCCCCGATCGAACTGTTCTCAACTCTGCAGTGTTGAGGTTCTCGGGCGAGAAGATGGTGTGGTGGATACCAGAGCTACGGTAGCCCAAGCTCCCCGTCAAGGATGATGGGGGCGGCTACCATATCTGACCCCGCTCACATCTCATAGGAAGACTGTTTGGACAAGATACAGCCCCTGAATTGAGGACTCCCTATATTTCCCATGTTGTTTAGAGACCTTGTCTCGTTGTTTCTCAACAAAGCTTCTCCTAGATAATTGGAACTGATCACTGGCCTAAGATGATACCCAAGTGGCTTGGGTAAAACGGAAGATCGGACGAGGCATCTCTCGGATCTAGCGCTTATACCAACAAGAACGCTTGGATAGCTTCGGAGAGCGAGGCACGAGCCAAACAAGTCTTGAAGACAGGGAATCGTGGTTTTCGACTTTGGTGCTCGAGCCGGGGGCATCAGCCATGGGTTTTCAGGGACTTTGGGATAGAGCAGGGACCACCTTGTGTAACCAGAGTATATAGGCCTAGCAGCCCGTGTGAGAAGATGGTTCAATCAGCAGTCGGGCTGGCTTGTGATCCGGCTGCATAGTTGCCCACCTCTATGGCAGGTGAGAAGACGATATTTCCAAGATTGACCGGGCCCGGAAAGCGAGCGCATTAGAGGAAAGCAGCCGGAGCAGGAAAATTCTGCAGCGCTTGAGGGCAAGACAAGTGCCGTGCTCCGCACATGCGCTGGTAAGTATGCTCGAAGCTTGCTTGCTGTGGGTGAGTCATCTAGATCCACGTCGCGATGCAGGTGTATGCGGCCGTCGCTTCGCCGACATATTGTGAAACACGACGGATGAATTGCGTGCATGATCAGTCATACGTACATATGCTCCATGACGACGCTCTATCACGAGCAAGACATTGTCTGTGTTGGAGGGTAAATGTTGGGCGAGGACGGGCCTGGGAAAGGGTTGAGTCGTGGGGGAAGGAGCCACCCGCTTCGTGTCGGCTTAAGTGGGGCACCTGACCCGTCTGTGCCCCTGTCAAGCTGAAAGCGCAAGAAACGGTCACGAGTATCCTTACACGTTGCGATATAACATCATGCTCTGTATGCACGCACGATCCTTTTGAATCATGAAATCGGCACCAGCAAAAGTAAAAGCATCATGACAACGTGGGGCAGTCGGCCACGGCCGCGGCGCATGTCCAGGACGTTGCCCCGCGTATTCGTTTGCTATGAGGCGCAGCGACAAATCCTAGCTGCAGGTCTCGGGGTCGCCTTTGCAGGTCTGAAACATGGCAATGTGGGATGCTATCGATAAGTCCGTACAGATGGGACGACTGGACGGCGCTGGGGTTGCCGAGCATTGCGTAATGCTCTCGCTTTGCTTCACTTGAGGATACTTTTCTCCAATCGCGCAGCTGTAGGCCTAGCAGGCGATGCGGATTGAAACGGAAACGACCTCTCCGATGCAGCCTTTCTTTTGCGCAGAAGCGACCGTTTCCCATAGAGACAGGTGGTATCGGCCGGAGCGAGTTATTGCCAGTTTATTGCCAGGTCACTGTGGGTAACATCGTCATGAGGCCCGATTGTGTCGGTACTGTAGAGGTGACATCGGCAGCGCCGAATTGATCTGCCTCGAGGTGGCATCGTCACCGCCGGAGCGCACGTGTCTGCGGCTGTGCAGCCTAAGCGAGAGTGGCGCAACTGCCGACGCCACTTGGATAGTCCTCTTGCTTCTTCGCAAGAGCAGCATCATCGTCATCAGGGCACAATTGCGCAAGCAGGAGTCGTAGAGTATTCGCATCGTGCTTCAGCAGGCGCCGAAGCTACTCGACCATGGACGCTGGCATGATAAACTTCTGGGCCGTCTGCGGCTCACATGATCGCGGGTTTTTCGGTAGAGAACCCTGCTCACATCCCTGCTGGGCCCGCTGATTGGGCTGACTGTTTCGAGCCCATTTTTAGGCTCAAGCAACGTCAACCTGTAGATGGCCCAAGACTACCACGACTACACCCACCGTGAAAGTCCTGCTCTGCGAAACCCCTTGACAAGCGTATAGGGCTCGTCCTCCCTTTAACCGCACACTCCCCAAAAGAGTAGCAAAGCCGCTGCCGTGCTCTCTGCTTCCGGACGCCCAAAGAAGGCTTCTGGAATTCGTGTCATGTCGCAACACCAGATGCTCGACGCCCAACTATAAGCGCAGTTGCAGGCTCGAGGATGCTGTGACGCTCGCCTACGGCGTGTATCCATGTGCAGGTTTGGTGGCTGCTGCGGCCTCCCGATCAGGTTTCTGCGGCCTCGCATGCATCTGCAACCGTGAGGCCGTCTTCAGCTGCCCTGGTGCACAGCACTATTCGGTCATAGTCGTCGATTACATTTGCTATTTCCACTGGGGAGGCTGATCAGACGCCTCTTTCGCAGTCATCTCCGCGCGTGCATGGCCGAGTAGTCGTTCGCACAACACTCGCAGCCATGAGAGCATCGCAATCTTCGCGCACCACATGCATCCGCCTATCCACGCGTGCGCAACGCGCTCGCCGTGTCCGTCGGTCAGCTTAGATCCGACTAGACCTGCAGCTGCGGACTCTGGCCGTATGCACGTTTAAGCAAGCTAGATGCGCAGTGCAGCTAAACGGGGCAGTGTGCATGAAATCCTTGCCGACAAGTGTGGCCACGCCGACCCATGATCGTCGCTTGTAAGCTCTTAAGAGATCCCACCCACCACCACCACTAGCCTTCTTCACCCTCCTCCCACCTCGCCTTCCCCCATCCTCATTCGCCCGCCCCTCCCTGTCTCTCCTCCTCAATCCAAGGCGCCTCTCGAAAAATTATACCCGCCAGAGACATTTTCTTACAACCTCTCCTTTGTTCTTTTCTTTGAATCTTTGATAAATCGTCCCATCCTAATATCGCAAACGTCTCGCACATACCACACACACACAACATGCCGATCTCGTTACTACCCGCCTCGGCTGCGGCCTTTGCGCCCCGATCAAACGTCAACGTCGTATTAGCCTCCAAGGTCGAGCCATGGTTAACGCAAACCCTCAAGAGGGTCAACCGTGTCAAGCGTCCGTTGAACAGCGTCCAGCAACACACGAGGTGTCTGACAGAAACCCTTTCCGGACCCAACGCTATGTGGTCGCTGTGCTCAATCATGGTACCAAAGGCCCCGGACTCGGAACTGCGCAAGGACAACAACCCGCTGGTAGAAGCGCTCTTCAACTACCAGCTCATCCACATCGAGGCCTACGTCGTACACGTCGACATGGTTTCACAACATGAGGTCGCATTCAAGCTTACACCGGAGACCATCGAAGCGCTTATCGAGTACCACAAGGACATCTACTCCGTCGATGTATCCGCCAGCACTTGGGAATGGGCCGAGAAGGAGCAACAGCTGAAGAAGCTCCAAGATGGATTTGTCCAGGCTGTCAACCGCTACGTCTTCCGAACTGGTGTCAAGGCTCTGGAAGGACTCGAGGAGGATGGTGCGGGAGAGCTACTTGAGGGACGAGGTGAGGATGTCAAGAGCGCCATCATGGGCCTGTTCCTCCCGCTCCTTCCTCCTCCTCCCAGGATCGTCGACGTTGTCCGCCCAGCACCGCTTCTCCCCAGCTCGCCCGGCTCAGCCAACTGGTGGGTGCCAACACAGCAGTACCAGTCGCACTCAGCCCCGGTCGACACTTGGAGAGTGGTCCCATCGACGCCCAGCCCGACCATCGCTACCTGCGGTGAAACTGGACCAACATTCTGGAGCACCATGGGCAACATGGGCTTCGAAGCGATCCAGCTTCCGTCACCGACTCCCTCCTACAGCCAGCCATACAACTCGACGAGCCCGTACGCACCGTGCACCAGCCCATATGCGCCAAGCACCAGCCCATACACGTCAAGTTCGTACTACAGCCCGCCCCCAGCGTCGGCACCGATACCAGCCCTTCCTCTGCCGAGCGTGCTAGCCCAGCAGTGCGGGTCAAGCGCCGTTCACGGAGGTTTCGGCGGTTTCGGATGGGACACAGGATTCGCACCACAGTATGCAGCATTCACATAAGCTGAATGACAAACTCGACTGTGGTGTATGCACCTGTTCTCTGTCGATGCTGGGAAGCGTGGACCTGGCCAGTCCCCCTTGCACTTCCCTTTACCGCGCAGGTTGCCCAGCGCACCAACCTTGCGACGCCCGACACGAGACGAATGCGATATTCACGACATGATGTGCAAACATCACTACCCAACCGGCATGGGACGGCGTTTTATCATTGATTCCTTTTAGCGAGCGTCATTTCCCCTCTCCTTCTCCGTACATTTTCTTTTTGATACCTGCTCTCACGTTATCCGTTTTGTTTTTAGCGAGCGATTTCCTTTTTTGTCTACCACAACGGCCGGACCAGGTCTTTTCATTTACTTGAATACAGCATCTCTGGGAGGCATGCATGTCGGGCATTTCAAACGGAAGACGGTTAAACAACAGCCTCACGGCTCACGAGGTCAGGCACACTCGGTTTTGGGATTTTTGTTGTGCTTTTTTCCTGTTTGTTAATGTCGTTTTACAACTCCTGGACGGATGCGCTATCTCTTCGTTGAGCCTGTGGCATGCCATGACTCTTTACGATCTGACGCGATTCACGTTCACGAATTACGCCTACTTGGCCTGGCATTGATTGTCAGCCGGATCTGCCGAGAGGCGGCGACAAAAGTTATACATGCATCTGCGATGCCGCTGTGATAGCTAGTCTCTGTTGCGAAGGAGGACTGGGTCGGAAAAACTAGGGAAAGCGACTGCGCGGGGTCGAGACATGAGCACGCCCGTGGCGTCTCTGCCTCTCGGGAGGTGGTCCTCTGCTTGCGGAGCAAACACTTCCTGATGCACCTTTGCGCCATCGCTGACCTTTCTTTCGACTTGGGATACTGGATGCACGGAGACTGTAGGTTCATCTCCTACACTTCAAGCAAGTTCTTGGAAGAAGCACTCTCTCAGTTGACCTGAGAGCAGTTGAATCGGATGCTGGAACAGAAGCAAGCTTCTCTAGCCTTCTAAACTTAATAAAAAACGAAACTTGAATCAAAGAAATCAACTCTTCAAAGAAATGTGCATCATCGCGAGTGAGACTTGACAATTGACATGGAGTGCGACGCCCCTTCAGCCTGACAGCCACGCACCGCCTAACTAGGACTTTCGCATTCGCGTCGATCATCTTCGCAGATCAAGAACACGATACCCACTTTCGATGCGACATGGAACATCGCATCGCCCGAGCCCTTGGTGTTGGTAAGTGACCACTTTTTGCGGCACAGTTTGGCGAGGCCACCAGGCGAGGCCGCCGCAACAGCGCGCGCAGCCTGACGTTCTGCCCAACCGGCCTCGCCAACTTCAGCCCCACGCAATTCGCAAGCAAGCCCAGCCTCCCGTTCCATCAACCATTCATCCTCTTAACACCGCGAATGTCACAGAATTACCACGCTCATCGAATGGGAAGCAGAAGCAATAGAAGCGATGAAGTCGGAATCGCAAAGTGTTTATTCGATGAAAGATTTGGCAGGTGAACAGTCGACAAACAATCGGAACATTTGATCACAAGGACCATCAGTAGCAGAAAACATACTTGCTATCAAAGAGAATATCACATCGCGTGATCGCATGTCAAGCTATCCTTCGCCTTATAACCACGTCTCAGCCTTTGACTGAAGCTCATCTCTCAGCTTCTCATATATACGCGAAATCTACCTAGGTACTCATTCACTATAAGCATCGTCAGCGCCACAGCATTCGCTTTCTACGCCGCGAGAATATCGGTCTCGTTTCCTTGGTGAAAGAACAACAGGCGGCTGAACATGGTGTTGGCCGCACTTCACGTCCGAACTGAGCAGTGCATCACCATGTGCAGGTACATTCACTCATTCACATTGAACGGAGTAAGCCTACAACCTCAGCTCCTCGCCAGCCTAACGCCATGGCCTCTCCTGAATTCACTATGGCTTCATTCTCCCCTTCTCCATATAAAATACCCCCCTTTTTCCTCCTAGCTGTTCTCCATCACACCACCGGAGTCTACTCTCAACCCACTCAACAATCTTCGCGTCGAACCCAGCTCAGTATCACCACTAGCAAACTCCAAACTTTGCTAGACCAGAAACAAGCTGTCCGCATCCCACCAAGTACTCCCATCTTTCAAACAGCAAAGCAGAGATGGCACCCACTCCCTTCGCCAAGCAGATGGAGCAAGCTGCTAAGAAGGATACAAAAGCCGCCGCTCCAGCTCCTAATGCTAAGGCCAACCTACTCGCTTCTGCTTTCGTGACCGCGCCTGGTCCCAAGAAAGCCATGAAAGAGTCCGAGAACAAGATGGGCGATGTGGCCAAAATCTACGAGCTCTCCCATGCCGACCGCAGGGTACTGGCGACGGGGCCAAAGGTGCAAATCGTCGACAGCAAGAACGCACCAGTAGCCGAGATGCCTATCGCACTCTTTCGCGCAGTCTCCATCAAGAAGGAGATGGTAGCTGGCTCCGATCCAGTGATCAAGCTGCCTGCCGAACTTGAAGTCAAGATGGTCCAGGATCTGATCACGCACTTCAACGAAATCACCACGTTTAAGAAGTTCGCAAAGGAGATTCACCCCTACAAAGCCCCGGGCGCGTACGAGGACCTTCAGCTATGCAGCGCCGCAGACTACCTCGGCATGATGGCGTACACCCAACGAATCTTCAACCGGTACTGGGCCCTCATCCGCGCGGAGCGTCTGCCAGAATATTCGGACATCGATGCCTTCTCCACTGTCCAGACACCGATCGGCGAGAATCTCTTCCGCAAAGTTGTCACCAAGCTCGCTCAGGCCGAGCTTGACGGCAAGATCCCCGACCCAGAGGACTACGCCTCCTACCTCGTGCACAACGAGCGTTTCGGACTTGCTGTGACTGCGGCAAAGGAGAAGATGCAGAAGCATCAAGACTACGTTGAGCGCACGGCCAAGCGGGAAGCGAACGCGAAACAGAAAACCGATGCTGACCAGATGTGGTCGCAGCAGCGGAAGCTGAATGAGAAAGAGAAGGCGGAGAAGGACAAGGCGAAGTGGGAGGCGGCTCGGAAGACGGAGGCGGAGTTGGCGGCTCGTGTCCAGGCGAAATGGGTGCAGCCGGGGAAGAAGCATTGGACTGCGGAGGAGGCGGGGTATCTGCGTCGTGTTCGTGGGATTAACGTGGCTATCTAGGCGCGACGATAGTACCTGCGGCGTCATGGTGGTTGTGTTTCTGTGGCTGGGCCTGTAGAGGCCAGTATGTGCAGTAGTCATTCATCTTTGTCTGCATTGTTGCATCCATGGAGCGAGAAGATACGGTAGCTAGCATCAAATGAGCTCGTTGCCATTACATGGTTTCATCCCTTCTTCGCTCGTGTCATCTCCTGTAACATTGTGTAGCTTCACTCACTACACCTTCAAGCTGTGGTACAGATTGATGTGCCAGTGTGAAGATATGCAGACTTCCTTTCATTTCGCACAAATATGGTAACCGTGTATTCCTGATAAAACACTTTGAGCACAGGCATTCTGAGCTTATGGCCGACCATATGACGAGATCTCAAATGATCTTTACTTCTTCCATAGGCAGCGACATTATTAGACGTCCCATATATTCTCCTTTTCTCACTCTAGCTTTCTCTTCACCATCATGGTCACTTCTTACTAGATCTTCCTCTTTCTCTCCAACCATCTCAGATTTCGCCATGATGACGCCGACTCCAAGAAAGCCTATCCTCTTGTACTCTGGAGGGTTCTTGGACGTTTGCTGAATGACAATTCCGCCCATGTCGGCATCGGAATCTCTCGCAACCAAGAGCTTGATGATACATCCGCATTTGAATGGAGGATTGGCGGTGGTCAGATCGTAGTCGGGATAAAACCAAGTGTTGGAGATTTCCAGGTTGTTCTGCCGGAACTGTTCCACAACCGGAGCCGACTTTGTGATGTCTTTAAAACGTGTACTCCATCTCCGTTCTCCTTTCTCGGCGGCATCAAGCTCATCAAAGCCTGTCAAGTTGAGCACAGGCACCATCAAAATGATGCTAGCGTTGGTGACCTCTCCGAGATTGGCAGGACCAACGACAGTATAATCCAGAGTGACGATTTTGACCTGTTCAGTGAACTCAAAATCATCCCAGAAGACCACTGAGTTTTGCGCTGATACCCAAGACCAAGAAGGAGCCATTCGGGAAGGGCGCGGTTTGTTATCCTGTGTGCTCCACAGCAGATCCGAGAGTATGCTACTCTTCCATAATCCTGCAATGTAAACGTCGTCTACTCTTTGCAGCCGCGACATTCGATCAACGACAGCTGCAATAGCTGGCAGAAGATCACTCTCGTAGGTCAGTTGCAGGGCGGTGTACTCCGTCACAATTTTCTGCCAGTAGTTCTTAGGGTCCACGCATCTATCACCCCAGTCACTGACGTACGAATCAATGAAGTAAGCCACACTTGTATCCCACATTGTGTCTTCTCTGGAATCCTCGGACAAAAAACCGGTTTGGCACTCCCAGTACACCTGATGTTTGCCAAAGTGTATCGTGCGGTGTGAGAGTCTCCGTTCTTGATACACCCAGCCGCGGGTTAGCAGCGGCATTGATTTCGGTGTAGTATTCTGGGTATTTGTTGGAAACTTCCTTAGTGCCGTCCGGACGTACAGATGGGGATGTTTTTCCAGACGTTTCGTGACTGGACGATCTGAAGAAAAGAGACCACCGTTACTATCTCGGCTAGCCGTAGCTGCAATGGTAATGTGCGAATTCTCGTAAATATCGCCCATCGTGGCAGCGGCCTCTTTCCAGTCTTCTTCGCTGTCTTGGAAAATACCTGCATTTGTTCAGCCGCGTATCCTTTTTAATAGGATGTTCCTGAAACGTCTTACACAGCGCATCGATCCAGATATAGTAGATTCCTAGGTAACGACACACCTCAACCGCATCTCGAAACGTCGTGGGTAGATCAGATGTTTTGATGCCATCACGCAGATGTCCGACAGTTGCAGCGGTCAACTTAACAGCTAGGCCATTCAACCCCCAACAGTGGCTGAGACAAGCATACGGGGCTACATTGCCAGGTTGTTCGCGAAGGGATACACGGTCAGCCGTGATCTCTAGGATCCTCTTGGGCAATGGGACTTCTGCTCGTTGCATACATTGCTCATGATGTTGTATACAGTTGGTCTTCCACTCTTGAATCATACGCATAGTACCTTGCGAAGAAGTGTCTTCCGAAAGCAATTGGGATCTTTCGAAGTTCCAGGCATCAAAAGTGGAAGGCTTCAACCTTCGTGGAGGATCTTACGTACTATTAGTTCGAGCGTAACTGTGGATTATTCAGACATACCGCTGTAACGTATGACTTCAATTCTTCGACCGATGTTGATGACAAGTTCTTGCTTTCTCTCATTAGGGAAAACGGATGTTTTATTTCGCGTGAATGATCGGTCTTCGCGCCCAAGATAAGTGACGATAGCGTCAAGAATAACAGCGCAGTTCCGACACTTAGAGTCTACTCCCACTGCCATCTCCTTGTAATCGATGCGAACATCATATTCCTTCAGTGTTATGTCGCCTTCTATCGATTCGTCCACTATTGGATGCTTACAGCCAACACAGACGTTTTCGCTATCAGACATGTCTGGGCGGGCTCCTTGTTGCGTATTGGCGAATACGTTTGCGAGCGCAAGTGGCTACTCGATGTCTGCGAGACTTATCAATGTATCCTTTGTTACTGCTTGGCTAGGAACGGTATGCGGCAAGAGCAGCTGTCGGTCTTGGATTTGGAGAATGTTGATGCAAAGTCGCAGCCTGGCGAGCTGAGCTGAAGAAGTGGACATGATGCATGCAGCCAAGTTATGTGGCTGTGGCGGAGTTTCCTCCACCGGTTTACGCAGTGAGGCATGCGGGCTTACAGCGTATCGGGTGCAGATTAAATCCATGGATCATCAAGCATACTATGAGTTGGTTTTCCGATAGAGACCTTGTCTCGCTGCGACCGATATGTAGGCCACGTTGCAGAAAAAGAATATGCAGACATGGCTTGTTGAGACGATGTAGAGATGTTGGGTGCGAACAGCGCAGGCCACCAGCACCATCGGATAAGTGACAGACGGCCCGTGCGCTGCTGACGTAACCCAAGCTGGCCGAGTTCACAGCAGCAGCACATCGCGACTCAAGACCCCCACTTAAACACCGCGACAATGGCTTCAGGATACGGACTTGCTGGTGGTACGTAAAACTCACTTTCTGGTGGATAATTTTGGAAGCTTTGGGGGTTGGCGGAGGCAGCGGAGCGAGCGCAGTGGCACTACGAAGAGCGGACCCGGAAGGAATGCGAAGACCGACTGCGACGGCTACACGATGCGAGGACCTCCGTGGACAATGCGAACTTCGGAAACAATAATGAAGAAATGAGGAGAGGCGGGTCCACGAAGTAATGGTGGTGCATAGGGCAGTCGCAGTCATACGGAGACTGCGCTGAACCTAGGGCACGATATGAGTGTATGGACACGACCGACAACACAACCGACAAGTCCAACGGACGGCCTCGAACACTCGGAAATGGGCCCATACCCTCGAACAATCGCTACCTTCACATACCGCCATTCAACCGTTCCCTCGCTCCATTTCCCCACCTCGACCGACCCGTTCGCTCGCGCCGCAACCCTCCAAAGCTCTCCCACCTCGCCTGTATCCCACACGAAGCAATAAGAAGCGTCCATAGATAGAATATCACAAAACACCAGCTAACACAAACAACCAGGCCCATCCCGCTGCTTCCCCTTCTGGCAAGAAGTCCTCGCATGCTACACGACCAACACAAACGCCGAGGACGACTCTGGCAAGGCAAAATGCGCCCCCGTCCTTGAGGACTACTACGAGTGCCTTCACCACAAGAAGGAGGTGCGTACCTTCCTCCCCTCCACCCCCATATACCACCTTTCCTTCCCATTACACAGCCCCAACCTCCACTCCACCCAATCCCACATTCCTTAGACCAAATTACCAAAGCTGACAACGCAATACCAGGCTGCCCGTACCCTCGCCCTGCAAGCCGCGTACCGCAAAGCCGAAGCCAACATAAAACGCGACGACGCACCGTCCGCGGGCGAGATAAGGCGATTGGGCGTGTTGGATGCGCCGCTTGAGGAGAAGAATCTCAAGCCTAGCAAGTGGTTCCCTCATAAGGAGATCAACTAGAGGAGACTGGATTGGAATGGACTGGATTGCATTGCGCATTGGTCTGACGATGATGGAAGGGAGTGGGCGGGGAAAGCGATGGCTGAGGGGGGTGAACGTGTGTATATGGGTACCTAGGTAGCTTATGTTACCTGCACGAGCAGCAGGGAGGAGACAATGAAAGGGAACTGAAAGTGATGAGGCATCAAGCTATACACGTGAGGTGCTACATGCAATTGCATGAAGTGTGAACTGTACCACGTGAAGCCTGGTATCGAAGCTAAAATGACCAAAAGTCATGCATGGTGAACTGGTCCTACCCTCGATCTTCACACTGACGAACACGTCGATTAACCAAGCACGAAAGTGTTTTCACAGTATATGTTTTCCATTCTCTACGCACTACAACAATGCATCACCGTCCAAACTTTCCTACTCCATAATCCATACGTATAGCCATCTTATCCTACCCCTCCCCCTCGTAACCGATGCAGATAGCAGCAGGAAAGAAATTGAATACACCATCATTATCATAACGCACCCTTTTTCGCCCAATATGCCATAATGCCCCATGAAACGCCATAAGCGGAGTGATACGATCGATAGAATGATGCGACATAATAGGACAACAATGGAAAAGAAGTAACACACTCAACTCCATGCATACGCAGAGTTTTGCGGACCGAGAAACCGAGAAACCGAGATGCAACCTAATCAAACACACAACAAGAAAGTGTCGTAACCGTCATAATCCAACTTTCACTCATTGAGAAGAGTTTGGACTACCCACACCGTCGTCAGATGGTAGTATAGGATCTGTACCGAAGCGTGAGAGGAGAAGATATATCGCTAACGTCTGTTGGTCTATATCGTCCTGCAACTCAGTCTACATGTTTGCAGGGACACTGGTGCGCGCGAGATGGGGAGGATGCGGTGGTGGTGTAGCGGTAGCGCGACTGCCGATGCTGCCGAGGCCGTGGGCTTGAGCCATGCTGCGGTGGAAGGAGCCGATTTTTTGGAAACCCCTATGATTTGTTAGCATAGTACTCTTCATCGAGGCAAAGACGCATTAGCAACATACTTTGAAAGATCGTAGCTTTCCTCCTCGGGTTCAGGCTCCTCCTCGAAGCTCGTCAAGCTGGCACCGCGTACCATCCCTCCGTTACCCACGATACCTAACCCAAGCCCGTTGACATTGCTATTTGACCGGGAACGCTGGCTTCCAATATGCCGACTGGCGGGTCTGGAGACGGTACGACTTGGACTCTCTGGGCCGGCATCTTCCTCTTCTTCGCCTTTCTCCTCGGCATCTTGGTCTTGATCTTCATTGTCTTCAGGCTCTGCGCTGTTGTACGGCAACATGGGGGGTGAACTGGGGTGGTCGTCGTCATCGCCATCTTTGAAGTCTGGACGTTGTAGTTTGATAGGGCTGAGCTCGAGTGGTGCTTTGGCAGGTGTGCTAGGGAGGTCGACGAACTTCCAGAAAGGTGCTGGACTGGAGAATGCCATGTACTGGCTGGGCATTTGGGCTGTGCTTGGGGGTGCGAGACGGGGTGCGTGGCGGGAAACAAGTGGGGTGACGAGGGCATTATTCATTCGGTTCGCATCGTAGTTGCCATTCATGTTGTTCGAGCCGGTGTCCGAGTACAAGGTCGGTGGTGAGTTACCGACGTCTGTCTTCATACCAGGGACACTCTGCTTAACGGGGTCCACACCGGGTGATGATTCCAGTCGGGATTCGTCCTGCTTGATGTGAGTAGGTTCCTGGCCGTCATTGGCTCCATAAACAAGGCGCTTCGCCGGAGTGACGAACCGATCCTGGTCGCGTATAGTCGGCGATTGCTTGAAGCCTCCAAATGGGCGTGGGCCGCGGTCTGGAGTGTAGGATTCGGTGGCCATCGGGACCGACGAAAGCGGGGGCGTAGCAGACCGTGGAGGCGACTTGACGCGAGGAGGGTATTGGCTTTGGCGGTTGTCGCGCTCCAAGGCACCTACAAGGCGCTCGGTGGCTTGAGATGGATTGCCCAGCGCGGGCGAACTAGGCCCTGAGCCGTCTATGCGATATCCGATTGCCACGCCGCCCTTGCGAGGGTTAAGCAGTTGCTTCTTGATGAACTCTTCCTTCTCTGACTCTGCAATCTTCCACTTCATGCCCTTGCCAGGCTCGTCGGTGCGGCGTGCAACCTTTTCAAATGACTTGTTGAGAGACAGATTGTGTCGAATGCTGTTCTGCCAGCCGCTGTTTGTGTGGCGGAAGAAGGCATACCGGGACTTGATGTAGTCGTAGATGTTGGCAAGCGTGAGCATCTCCTCCTCGCTGCTGAGGATCGCTTGGCCGATAAGCTGGGCATAGCTGTGAGGCGGCTTGATTTCTTTGGTTGAGTCTAAGCTGTAGTCAATATCGTCTCCATTTTCTAGTAGAACTGCTCGAGAGAAGGTAGCAGGTGAGCCTTTGCTGCGCGGGTCTTTTTCTCCGCGGAAGGTCATGGGGGTTCCGGGTTGTGGGTATCCAGGCGTGGATGTCATCTGGTTGTAGTATGCTTGTGACGATTGGTGTTTGTTGCGAGGGTGCGAAGACGGTGGGAACGGATCGTACTGGTCGCGTTTAGGCGTCGGTCCGCTGGGATGCGCGTGCTGATGGGGTTTTGGCGGCGGGTTGCCGTCATTGTCAGACTCGGCGGCGTCCTCATTCTTAACCTGACGCCACAGCATGGGGTGGAAGTGGTCCTCTTGGTTGGCGAGAAGGAACAGCATCTGAGTGCTCATAATGCTGATACAGATACCCGAGTGTAGCGGCGCCTTGTCTCCTCTGGTGAGATGGCGGTCGTCCAGCTTGAGTCCGTTGCGGCTGTTCACGGTGATGTACCACTGCTGGTCGTCAACCTCAAAGTTGATCTCGGCGTGGACGCGAGATATCTGGCGCTCAGGTCCGAGGTCAATGTGCACGCCCCAGTCCTGGCGGTTGGGGTCACTTGGTGGCAGCCCAGAGAGGTCGGGCTGAGAGCTCTGCTGGTTGGAGCGAGTGTTCGAGTCTACACGGCCGATTCTAACTTGCGTGTCCTGAACGAAAAAGCACCAGTCGCGGGCCGCAATCTTGGCAAAGGCCGGGATGTTCTTGCCCTTGTTGCGCTGCGACTGCAAGTCGTTGGCATAGTCGATGGCAGCGTGGGGGACATAACCGGGCACGCGGAGGGCGGCGATGACGATGTTCTGGCGCTCTATGGGGTCCATGGGATTTTCTGCGTCTCCACCGTTGGGCAGTGTCGTGTTGGAGTCGTTGCTAGCGACGGACTCTGTGATGCGGGTACGGGGCGGGTCGGGGGCGGCCGTAGCAGGCGGCTCTTGAGCGGCGCCATTCAACTGTGCGAGTGAGTACAAGTTCGCCGCAACACTGGTGGTGTTGGGGCTGCTCACCCGCCTGCGCTTGCGCGAGGGCGTGGCATCTGGCGTGTCGGGTTCAGACTGCTGCTGGGCGTCTCTGCGCGAACGAAGACTTCTACGAGTCGACATGTTGCATGCGGGGGGCTAGCGAGCGAATCTGTGGAGGAGAAGAATGTATCAGTGAGAGCTGTGGGAATGTGTGCATTCGTGTATTATTTGTTGTGGGTGGTGACGGCGGACCATGGGAGAGGGACGAGCCAGCCACGGACGTGCGAAGAGCAGCCAGCCAGGCGCCCCACCAAGCGACTCGACACACTCGGAACGGGAGCTGCTTACCGCGAAATGTCGGTGTTGGATTCCCAACGCACTGCGCGCGACTGGAAGGCGTCGTCCAGGGAGCGGCGGCGGGCCGGGGGCAGGCGTCGCAGGGCGGTGGTGACGAGAAGGGTGGAGGAGCGCGCGGTCGTGGGCGGAAGGGTCGACGTATCGGCGTGTTTGTTATTCCAGCACGACGCGACTTGGTGGCTAGCGCAGGCGTGGCGATGATCTCAGGACGCAGCGAGACAACGGTGACAATGCGCGACGCGTAAGATAGGCGGTGGCTATCGATAGAGAGATAATGGAGCAGAGCCGCAGGAGCACGGAAGGGGACAAATTACGTCGCCTTGGTGTCCTGGCTCAAGATGCTATCCGTGCGCACTCGTGATCAAAATAACGCGGTAGCTGGCAGCGCGCCCCCAGCCGTGAGCGACCCAGACCCAGGCTTTCAAACACATATGCACGCTGCGCCGCTGTCAAACGGGACGCCTGCAATATGATGCCGGCCTCCTGTCATTGCACCCTGAGCATTGCTTCTCCAGCGTACCCAGAAGCCCCAAACGCTCAGGTGCCGACCGTGCGCGTCAGGCCCGGCCAAGCAAACAATGACGCTATGCAATCGGGCTTGAAAACCGTTCGCATGCCGCCAACAGGATCGCTGCTGGCTGCACCAACGGCCCACCAGCACGACGCCAATCGTTGCCGCTTCGGACGCTTACTCACGCTCGCTTGCTGTGTGTACTGCCACACGATGAGCGAAGAACGTCGTAGAATACCGCGTCGACATCGTGCACAACGATCGCAGCTCTGCAGTGTTCGTCCCGTGACGCGTCTAATTTTGATCGCTCTAGCTACATTAGTCACCTCGTAAACGCATTCCTTGACTATCGCCCGTCATCGAGGCTCCACGCCGAAGCGCAGCCGGCCCGCGATACGCACTACCCCTCAATCCATCGCGATAGGGCACCATAGCCGTCTGTCGGGATCCATCAAGCGTACATGTAGCGGTTTCACCAAGTTTGACAGGCAAGACACGTGCACAAGCAATCAGGAAATAGTTACAAAGATTCGTTTCTTCATAAAACTAGCTATGACTAGCTGACAATTAAGGATTGAACATTACTGTTGATGCTGTTTATCCAAACAATACAGATCTCAACGACTCCTTCACGAAGTGTAGTCGCTAGTGTCCATCTCCGCAGTAAGCAACAACTTACGCGAGCTAGCACCGACGTACACCGTCTTGGGGTACTCGGAGATGACCCAGTTCTGGGCGGCGACGTCCCAGTTGCTGATGTCACGGCGGGTGATGTCAGCGTGGAAGGTAGCGCTCATGCCGGGCTGGATGCTCAGACGGTCAAAGGCGCGGAGCTGGACCACGGGGTCTTCAGGTCCACCGAGAGCAATGTAGCACTGAACAACTTCGTCACCAGCGACGGTACCGTTGTTGGTGATGGTGGCCTCGACAGTGTAGAGGACGTCCCACAGCTGAGGGTTACCACCGGGAGCACCACCGGCAGCGATGCGAGCCTGGGGTGAGCCATCAGTGGAGCCTTCAGGCCACGTGTAGTCGACACCGTACTCAGGGTCTTGCGACGCCTCAGCAAGGTCAGTCGAGTTCAGGTAGGGGTAGATGAAGGTGGCCGGGCGGGTGAAGTTGGCGGGGAACTGGTACTCCTCAATGTTCCTGCTGTAGTTGCCAAGAGTAGGGGCAGCGATAGTCTGACCAGTGGTGGGCTCGTATGCGCCAGCAGGCACCTTTGTGACACTGATGTTAGAGTACTCAAAGGTGGTGTAGGAGAGACCGAAACCGAACTCGTAGATGGGAGTGATGTTCTTCTTGTCGAACGCGCGGTAGTCAATGAAGACACCCTCGTCGAAGTTGTCCTGGGGGCTGCCGTGGCCGTTGGTGGGCTCGTAGGTGACATCGGGGCCGTACTCTTCCTGGGAGCTGCCAATGGTGAAGGGAAGCTTGCCACCGGGGTTGTGGCGGCCGTAGAGGATGTCGACGATGGCGTTACCAGACTCTTGGCCGGGGAGACCAGCCCAGAGAATGGCAGTGATGTTCTCGTTGTCGTAGAAGTTGTTGACAAGTACAGGTCCGACAGAGTGGATGACGACAATAGTGTTGTTGCAGAGTGCCGACACGTTCTGGATCAGAGTCTCACCGTCTTGCCAGACAGTGAGGTTGTTGCGGTCACCCATGTTACCTGTGCCCGAGTTAGTAAGGTTTCAATATGAAAGCAAGATAAAATATACCATCGACGGTGATGTAACCTTCACCAGAGTCGGCGTTGACAAAGACGATAGCGTGGCTAACCTGGCTAGCCATTGCCTGGATCTGCGCGTACGCCCAGTTGTCGGTAACGGAAGTGACGACACCACCGTTGTCAGTGACCTCGCGCTTGATGGACTCGAGAGGGGTGACCAAGTAAGGGAAGTCGGCGGTTCCGGAACCCCAGCCCATGGCCAAGGTACCGTTGTCACAGCCACGGTCGGCGCATCCGTTGGGACCGTACTCGTTCTCACCAGCGTCGTTGCCGAAGACACCAGTCCACTTCTCGTTTCCAGAGAGAGGAAGGACACCAGAGTTCTTGAGCATGACAGTCGACTTGGCAGCAGAGCGGCGAATGGAGCGGAAGTGGTCCATGCGAACATCAATGTGCTGGTTGACGAGCTTGTTGCCAACTTGTGCGTAGTAGTGCTCGTATCCGTAAGTGTCGCGTTGCCAGCTGTCGAAGTTGACAGGGATGGACTCGTCGAGGCCGACGAAGTAGTAGGCGGCCATGATACGGACAGCCGCATCGTCGAGACGCCACTGGGGAACGGTACCGTTGAGGATGGAGATGGTCAGGTTGGTTCCCCAGAAGGACTGGCCGGAGTTGAAGTCGGTGTCACCGGGCATAGTCATGTCCAGACCAGCAAGGGTGGAAGAGACACCAGAGTGTTGAGCGTCCCAATCAGAGACGATGAATCCTTGGAAGCCAAGCTCGCCCTTCAGGATGTAGTTCTGGAGGTACGAGTTCTGGCAGACCTGGGAGTTGTTGACCTTGTTGTAAGAGCACATGATGGATCCAGTTCCAGCACGGATGGCGTCGGCGAAAGGCCAGAGGTAGAGCTCGTGCAGAGTCTTGTCATCCAAGTTGGAGCTGATGGCATCGACGAAGCCAAAGTCCTCGAAGTTACCGGGCTGGCGGAAGTGCTCCTGCTCGTTCATGATGAAGTGCTTGGTGCAGGCAATGACACCAGCGTCCTGGATACCGCGGACGGTGTCGGCGACAGCATGACCAGTCAGGACTGGGTCAGGAGAGAAACCTTCCCAGTTACGCTGGGCAGATGTTAGTGAATGTTAATGCGATCGGGTCATACAACTTACTCCACCCTTGGGATGGCGACCGAGAGGACCGATCGCAGGGCCGAGTTGCACATCGACACCCTTTGCGCGGTGCTCCTGACCCATCTGGTAACCGCGGCGGTAGAACTCGCCACGGTCCCATGATGCAGCGATAGTGCCACCTGCGGGGAAAGCAGAGACATAATCGGCGAAACGGATGCCCAGAGGGCTGTCTTGCAAGCAGAGAGGGTCGAAGTCGAGACGGGGGATTGCGCCAACGTTGCCAACGCAGGCGTCACTCTGCCATCCAGTTCCGGTGGTGAGGTTCACTTTCTCGATGAGAGTAAGCTGGCTGACAAATGCCTTTGCCTTTGTGATGGCATCAGCCCAGTCGCCGGTGGTGTCCTCTGCCCAGCTATTTTCGAGTCAGCAATTGTGTTCCAGATGTGAAGTTCGGTCGTGTCGCGATGCAACTGCCGCATGTGAAAGCTTGGTGGAGCCGGCGCTCCTTCGCTCTTCCCCACACCTGTCAAGCCCACTTCTACGGCTAATGACTTGTAAAATGCCGAAATTTGTACGTACGGGCTGGGGTAGTATGGGGGACTCTCAGCAAAGTTCAATGGACTGCTGGTGTCGTTGGAGCCCGTGTTGTTGGAGTACTTGTTTATGATCAGCATAAGCTCGTAAACACGGCTGCAGGGGTGAATTGTACTGCGCGCAGAAAGGGGAAGAGGGCAACAACAAGATGCGCAAGATCGCGCAGCATCTCTGCAGCTTGAATACAAATATCTTGCAGTGCCAACGGCGTTTTGGTGCGTAATCAGAGAATGTGCAAACATACCTGGGCGTGGGCAAGGCCCGCAAACAATGCTTGTGCAAGCCACAGCATGGCGTCCGGCTGGCTGGGAAACGCGGCGATTGAGATACAAGAACACAGTAATATAAATCTACTGTGGTAGTATGCAAGTAGGAGTTGAGAGCGCTCGCAGACACAGGCCTAAAGTCCCGGGCGCCATGACAGCTTTATTCACAGCCGCGAGCAGCAAGTGACAAGGGCAGGGCATAGCTTCCCCAGCGCCCAGCTACCCGTCCCCTAGCACCATGCGCCGTCACGACCCCAGGCGCAAGCGGCTGCCTCTTCTTCTGCGGGGGACGTGTGCAGAACCTGCTGATCCCCGCCCCTAAGCCCTCAATGACTCGATGGAGCGCACCCCGGTGCCTCCGCTGTGTTCTTCTGGCCCCGATGTTTCCTTGGAAGCCCCATCACATGGTCCGTCTCCAGTCAAGACTGCTGCGCATATGCAGCGACCATCGACTTCTCGCAGCTGCATCACGTCAGGGTAGCTCCACAAAGGAGAAGAAGAAATATTGCTTCTCTCCCGTCTCCCTTGAGCTACGCGCACGGGCGCGCGTTGAATGACCCTGGCCGTGTACATCGTCATCTACCTACGTCAACCCCGGACGTGCATATAAGCTCACACTCAAAAGCCCTTTCCGAGCGCCACAGAACAGCCAAGCTCGTAGTGGGAGGTGCGTGAGGCGCCCTGTCTCGCTGGCTCAAGACGTCCAAGCCAGGGCAAGACACCCAGTGCGGGGTTGGTGTCGTATTCGAGCTTCCATGCTTCCGTCTTCAACTGCGCCGCAAAGTCACAAACCTTGGTCTCTAGCATCTGCTCAGTAGCGTCTGCTATGAGGTCCGACATTCCGTTGGGCTGAGAAATCGGCGGTATAGCTCCTCGGGGTAGACCCCAGTATTACCTGGAGCACCCGCATTATACATTGGCGAATCCTCGGGAAAACTCTTTGAGGACATGCTCCCGTTTTGCAAGCTCATGTTTACGTCCGGACCGTTGCCTCGGCGTGTGCTGTCGAGCAACTAGCAGCCGACCAGGTGCGCTTGAGAGCTTTTCCACCGGATGATCTAGTAAGCACCAGGACGCTCTCGTGGGCCGCCCCACTCGGCAGGTGGTACAACGAAAGTCACTCACGTCACTGATCTAGTCTGAGTAACTTGACCCCGATACTGACCCATTTGTGCTACACCTTTTCTCTCAGAGCAGCATCGCGTCAATACCAAGCGGATACACGAGCCGACGGTACGTTGTTCGGCATGTCGTCAACCATCCGCCATGCTTGGCTGTGTCTCTCAATTGGTCACTACGTTGCAAACGGTACAAAGTACCTTGAATGTCAAAAGTACCTCGCGGTACACCGATAGTCTGCGATCCCTACCCAAGAACATCGCTAGCCACGTTGGCTCCGAGTCCTAAGAATACCAGCAATATCCGAGTACCCGTTTTCCAGTGTGACGATCGCAACTTAATCAACGTAGTCGCGATGTATTAGCTTCGCGCTTTCAAGGCATATCGCTGGTGGTGGTCAATCTAGATGTCGTCGTCCTGTGCAAAGACTTGCATGAGTCGTTCGCGCTATATACCCCGCTCCGCTTGGTAATAGCACCTATTACGTCTAGCCTGCAGAAGTCTACCAGGTTTCAGCGTATAAAAGTATGAGCGTATTTCGGGTGAAGACGACCGTCTGCGCCACATTCCACGATGCCGATGCAAGAGATTGGAGCTCTCTTTTGGAGTTGTGCCCAACGGCGTAGGCTTACTCAACATCATCTCGGTGCGGTCAGATTGAATTGCACCGGGCCGTCATGTTATATCCGCAGTTAAGCCTAGCCTATAGCCGAGCCTTTCGAGATAACTTGGATCACATATCACGTATTACATTGAACTTTTCACTCCGTCGAAATACTGAACTTAGATTGTGGAGCCTGTTCTTCTCCTTTCGAGCCTAAATCCGATCAAGTCTAGCATGTCTTTGATGCAGCGCCATACGGACTTTCAGCAGCTGGAGACGACAATCGATCGCTTTCGGAGATGCGCCTTCCTACGTGTGCATGGCTCAGGGTCTGACTAGCTTCGAGAGTTGCGACATTGATGACGAAGCATGTCTCGTTTCCAGCTGGCGAGGAATCGCGAACAAAAAGATTTTGAGCTTCACAGCAACATCAGACAACTTGTCTGACTCGGAGCTGTAATCACATCTGAGAAAGAGCATTGAGCTACACAACTGGACGCCTACCCTTCGTGCCGGTACACGCCATGATCTCTAGGATACAAGACGATGGCCAGGTGACGTTCATCAGATGGTAGCGGCAAGAAGCGGATCCAGCAACTGTTCCCTAGTAGGCGTACTGCGATACAAATGTGGATGATGGATTATGGCGAATACGGTGTTCGAGTGTGAAAGCTAGCGAAAGATGAAGCCCCAGATGGCGCTAAACCTGGTGCGGGGTTGGTGGAGCTTCTAGAGAGTAGGCCGCCTGCTGGCTGTGCACGACATCGTACCCTCAACCACATGCAGCTCTCTGCTATCGAAAGGGCGGAATGCCCTATGTTTCGAGGTTCTGTTGTTGTGTCCCTACCAGAGTCATTTGACTGAAGGGCGAAGGCTCGTGATCTGACGTCATGGTCAGCCCTCACCATGTTCTCGCAGTACGACACGAGTCTCGGAGCATTGATTGATCAATCAGCATACGTGAAGAGTCAACCAGATACGTCTTCAGGCCACAGTCTCATTGGAGCTAGGATATGTCTGGTATCTGTGGGGTACAGTGATGATGTCTCGTCGAAGCCAATGACTGTCAGCGCCGCAAGGCTGGCTGCCTGCAGGCAGCACCACTGCGCCTTCCGTTGAGTCAACAGCCTTGAGTCAAACCTCGCACATTTAACTGCATGCTGTTCTCTATTTAAGGTCCTCTCTTTGAGAGCTCGATGTGTCGCAGTCGTATACGCCATCTCGTTTACTATGGGTTCCAAGTTCTCTCGAGCGGTACGGCCGCACGTGGAAGCTCCTGCCTCGCCAGTCGCAACTGCCCAACATCACGACATTGACCATGCAAACGCACAAACGCAATGCCAAGAGGCCACATCACGGGTCTCAGACCCTTATTGTTACGACGATATCAACGTTGCCACCTCTACCACGGTACCAGTTATTCCGCAAAGACGCAACAGCGCGCCCGCAACAACATTCGCAACTCTTGCACCTTCCATGGCTATGGAACAAGCCCCAAACATCACCACTTCGTTCCTTCTCTTCTTGGAAGAGCGCCGACTCATGTCTATCCAACACGATCATGCCGACCCTGAATCGCCGCCCGCGACTACCATGCCCCCGCCTCCTCCGGCACCAGCAAAGCCTACTCTTACCTTACCATTACCAGAAGTACAATGTATTATATGCTGTACGGAGTTACCAGGTGCCAAAAGCCCGAAGCACTCAAAGGAGGTTGTGAAGCCATGCAGACAATGTGGGAGTACATACTGTGGGTCGTGCATCAAGAGGATGTTCACCGAATGCTGCAAAGATACCACGCGCATGCCTCCAAGGTGCTGCGGACAGATACCAATTCATTACGCAAAACCGCATCTGACGAAGGAGGAGTTTACAGAGTTCAAATCCAAGTACGAAGAGTGGCTCACACCAAATCCATTCTATTGTCCAGTGCCAACATGCTCGACCTTCATTCCAGAACGACTGCTGCCCGAACAGGCAACGAAAAAGCAAGGGAAGCGCGCCGACTCTGGTGTTGGAACGCCAACGTTGAACGTCTTTGCGTGTCCAACCTGCTCAGCTGAGATCTGTCTCGAATGTCGGCAAGTCGCTCATCCGGACGCTATATGCAACATCTCTGATTTCGGCATCGATGCAGAAACTACAGAGCTACTGAAGAGCTGGGGGTATAAGAGGTGTCCGAAGTGCGGCCATGGACTGAAACGAATGTACGGTTGTCTACACATGGAGTGTCGATGTGGAGCGCACTTCTGCTACATGTGTATGGACGAGCCGGAGGACTGTGGTGGAGCGTGTAATGAATATGGGGAAGACAACGGCAGTGACGGCAACATCACGGAGTCTGATGAGGGCGAGTCTCCATCTGGCACGAACGATGCATCGGCGCAATCCAACGAGACATCTCAAGCGCAAGAGACTGTTGGCGCAGCAGCGATATCTACGCCACAGCCAGCGCCTCCACGTAATCTTGATGCTGGAGGGCCTCGTTACTGGGAGGATCAAGATCTAGACTTTGGTGAAGAGCCAGGGGAAGACCACCAGGACCGCTCATGGAACTGTGACCACAGCTTCGAAACCTACAGAATCCCCCTCGCAAAAGCTCTAATCAACGATTCCGCGGCTGAGATGGAATGTGTAAAATGCTGGTGTTCCATACATCCAGAGATCGAAGCACCAGATGCTCCCTCAAAAGGCATTATTAGAGTGCCGACTGTACCAGCAGGCGCAGCAACAAGGGCTCCAGCAGGATTCGCGAGAGGCCACGGACGAGGGACAGGACGAATACGAGGGCGACGACAATATATACCTCCCCGCGGACTCGTCCAACTAGGTGGCGCCATTGGAACAGCACCTCACCTTACCACCACCATCACCGCTCCACTATCTCAAAGCGTGCCATCCCAGAGTGCATCCCTCCGCGAAGCCTCGCCCATGGAAGACATTGTGTACTCCGACCCCGACCGGGTAGTAGATACATACGGCAACATCATCGCGACATCAGAGATTGAGCTGCGGCGACGAGCATCCGAAGCGTCATTCGTCACTGACGTCGTCCCTCCGCGAGCGAAAGGAAAGGCTCAAGCTACCTTCAATGCCCCATCGAACATCTTCTCTATGAAGTTCAGTCTCGCCCATGAGTGCGTTAACTGCGCCTTACTCGTGTGCGCATCGTGCAAAGACGGTATGTTGGCTGCTGAAGAGGGGAAGTGAGAGTCCTAAACCTTTCCGTATCTCTTACTTTACACGGAGCTTTGCAGCATTTATTAGCATGGGGGATTTGACGTTGAACTGCAGGGGCATTACGGGCATACGGCTTTCCTTGCGTAGTTTCAAGACAGCTTTTAAATCGGAAGATTTGAACACTTATTATCGAACGGCGTATAGCAAATAACTGAAGCACCCTTCTGTCTACTTCAAGATGATGAATAGTGCTAGAGAACACCATGGGGTTGCATGTGGATTGTGTAGAAGTCTTGCGGCGATGTGTGCGTCTCGGTCAGCGATTACATGCTTCCTCAAACAGCTACTGCGCATTGAAGTATTTCACGCTTCGTCCTCGTAGTATGATTAAGTGGTTATGTCGAGTTGTATCATCTTCGTTTAAGGAAGCGACGTCAATATTTCCATGGCTCTATGGCCCTGCTGCCTCAGTACCTCTGTTCACCCATATACATGCTACATGCCTACGACTTCAGACCCTGTTCTCTTCTCACACACTGAGTGCTAAGCTGTCTCATGATACTTCATAGACCCAGTTTTGCATCTAGCATCCTAGCGTGCGTCGAGATAACGTGAGTACCACCCGTCCCTCATACAAGCATCTATTAGTGACAAGAGCGTGAGGGTGCCATCAAGGTACACACAATCATCAGTTACAATTTTTTATTCTTGTTCATAGAAACGTGCTACCGCACACGAGAAGACCAACCGGGGAATCAAAACACTTGCAAAGGTTGAGCTCAAGTTCACTACATTCGTGGTACCGGTAGATGTAAGTATTTTAGCCCGCCGACATCTCTGATCGAGATTCCTTGATATTGTGCTTTCGCTCTCCGTTCGCTCGTCCCGTCGTGAGATAGCTTATTCATTCGTTCATTTCATCCACACTTGACTGTCGGATGCAGGTATGTCCTGTTTTCAGGCCGGAACCAAGGTTGACGCAATCTATGCGCCCAGGCTGGGGAAGGCGCTGGAATCGGTGATGTTGATGTTGGACTGGGCACCGCCGCGGCCTCCACGACCACGGGCCTCGCCACGTCCACGACCCTCACCGCCACGGCCACGTCCGCGGAACTCGCCACGACCTTCGCCGCGACCACGTCCCTCGCCACGGAATTCACCGCCGCCACGGCCACGACCGCGGAACTCGCCACGGCCTTCGCCACGGCCGCGTCCTCCTCGGCTGCCGCCCTCACGGGGAGGGGGAGCAAGCATGCGGTCACCGTCGAGCTCGACGTGGACCTTCTCCTTGCGGGCGCGCTCGCGCTTGGCCTTGCCTTGGGAACCGGCCATGAAGTCCTCTTGCTCCTCACGGGCGAGAGCAGTGCCCTCGGGGAACTTGGTGCTGCTGCCCTCGTTGGCCTTGCGGACGTTCTGGGCGGCGAGAGAGAGCTTCTTCTCGGCGAGCTCAGCGAGGTAGGCGGCGTAGGACTTGCTCTTGTCCTCAGGCTCGGCATCGGCCTCGCCCTCAGCGTCCTCCTTGATGGCGTCCTTCTCTTCAGCCTGAGCCATGGCCTCTCCAGCCTGCTCGTCAGCCAACTCGGCATCGCCGTCCTTTCCGCCCCAGCCGTGTGCGGCCTGCTTATCGTGCTCGCTGGAGACCGTTAGATATGGCCGTGATATGATATGGGATTTCTTACGCGATGCCAGTCCTGCTATGACGGTCACCCTGAGCAGCGCCTCCGCGACCTCCGCGTCCACCGCGACCGCGACCACGCTGTCCACCACGGCCTCCAGTGGCGGTAGGCTCTGCAGAACGTCAGTATAGGTACGAATTGACCAGTAGCAGGGCACTCACCGCCAGATCCCCTGCCGCGGTTCTTGTCAGAGCCGACGCCGCGATCCCGGAATGCTGTGCTGCGTTAGCAATTGTCCGTTGAACATCTCGTGAGAGTGTAGAGCACGGAGGTTGCTCCTTGTATCCGACGTACCGTTGTCGTTGGCGTTGTCGGACTGCTTGGCACGGTTCTGGTTGCTCATCCTCTCGGGCATGGGCTTGGGGGCATCGGTTCCCTCGCGCTTGCCGTGCCTCATGACGGGCTTCTCAATTGCCCTCGTCGGTGGGTCAGCCGGCCTGTCGGGGTCGAGCTCGGGGTCATTGCCTGCGGGGTCGTGAGTGAGAGTTCGGTGCCTGTGCTGTGCGCTGCGACATACCCAGCAGCTCGTAAATGTTCTGCAGTTGTAATTAGCATCTTGAAGCTCTCTACTGTGGTGCAGGCCTTTTCGCAGCCCTCAATGGAAGGCGCGAAGCCGGACGTGATGGTGGGGTGAGTTGTAGCTTACCTTGGAAGCAATTTGCGACATCTTGACGGATTGGAGCGCCTTTCGCGCTTTGCCCTTCTAGATGCACAATCTGCCGGGAGAGAAAAAGAATGCGAGAGCTTGCCCTACAGATTTTAGGGACGTGGCTCTCAGAAGTTGACTCGCGAACGGGGTGATAGCGCGATGTTGCGGGCACGAGGTTTTGGTCAATCGAAAATGGCCGTGGGTTGCTTCCGTAAGCGAGTGTAGTGGGGCTAAGACTATTGGAGGCACAAAGAAACATGAGCGCTGCGGTTCTTGCCGCATACAGCGCTTCACTCGATTCTTGTGTGAGGGCAGCTCAAAACAAAGTTCTGAGGCACATGGTATTCACTGTAATCAGCCCGTCAATTTGCAGCTCTTGCGCCGCTGGCGTGTCAGTGTTGATTTGAATGCGCGTTCAAGCGCACGTCATTCCGAGGCTGTTTCACCCATGCAATGCTTTTTGTCAGGAAAAGCAATTGTGAATGCGTCCAATGCAGCTCCTGAATGCGACCGCATTGCTATAGTGTCGCAAAATGTAAAAATGCCTGGCTTGGCAAAGAGCATGGGCGCTGTCACGGCGTTGTGGGAATATGAGGGGTGCAACATTGACTCGATAGTTGCGGCCGACTGCATTACAATATGTACAAAGCATCGTCCCGCCTTCCAATGTCACTAGATGGGCAGCGATGCCATAGTGAAACGTATGGATGAGAAGTATTCACCCGCGTCCCTAGCAATAACCCCAAGCAATTTCCATCACAAATACACATGTCGTGAACCTGCCCCAGGTCGAATGATAACTTTTTGTAGAATTTCCCGTATCGAGACTCGTGGTCTCATATTGAACGCCGTCGTACCGTCGTGACACATTGTCGATTGGGTAAAAGCAGTTGTTGCGCCCGCTAAACAACGTCATGGGAGGGTATCAGTCGGCGGTGATCCAATTCGGTCCCTGATAACTCCAATATAGCCCCCTCTTCCTATCCTTTCCTCATATCATCATCTACTCTCATACATCGTGGGGAAGTGCATGCTGGCCGACAGTCCAAAGGGGTCGGCGTCAAGCATAGGATCGTACGGGTCGAAGAGGTGGTTGTTGCTCATGCCATTGTAGGCATGGCCTCCGTCGTTGGGCGCCAAAGCTGCTGGGCTCGTAAAGGGTGGGTTCTGCGAGGGCGGCATCGGTGGTGGCATGTTGTTCGAAGGCGGGAAGTTCTGTTGCGGGAACGGGCCAGGGCCAGCGGAGTGCTCGCTCGGGTCGTCGTGGTCGTAGGAGTCGGCTTGTTCCTCGTACTCCTGCTCTGTAACACGAAATCAGCCTAGGATTACAAAGCCCTATACTTAAGAGGGGATAGGAAACGGGTCAGCTTGCCGAGTTGACTCATGTGGTCCGTGAACTGTGTCTGGTAGAAAGACGTAGGACCACTGCTCTGAGTTATGCCGTTACCGTTGCTGCCAACAGTAGACGCGCTTGCTATGCCATTTGCGGGAGCCTGGTTCGTTACAAGCGAAGGGCGCTGAGCACCCATCATGGGAGTAAAGTTTGATCTAGGCGGCTGTGGCCGTAGCGGCTGCTGCTGTTGGTGCTGCTGCTGTTGTGGAGGTATGGGCCCAAAGTTGGGAGACACTGATTGACCATGAGGTATGAAGCTGGGCGAGCGCGTTGCTGATTGAGCAGGCGACGAGAGATGCGAGCCAGGAGTGGGTTGCGACAGTGGTGAACGCTGAATCGGCCCATCCGGCTGTATCATGGGCAAGCCATTGACGCTATCAACCTTGGGCGGGCCTTGGAGCGAGCGCCGCTGTTGTTGTCTGTTCAATATAGCACGTTGTTGGAGAGGCGCCTGGTTGGGCGAGGTGTGTGCAGACGCTGGGGCTCTGGTCGGCCCCAGGTTTGGACTGCCAGTCTTCGCGCGCAGCTCGGCCTGGACGTCGATACCTGGTGGAGCAAGAGGTTAGCGTGTGTACCCTGATAGATAGACGTCTTGATAAGATTGGGGCTACCTTTCTCTAGCAGAATCCTCTCGAGTAGAGAATTCTTATACCGGAGCATAAGGCATTCGTCGGCGGCGTTGCGGTGACTGTTCTGCAGGTTCTGCAGCGTGTCCTCATGGTGCTTTATAGTGCTCTCCAGCTGCTTGATGTACTCTGTACGGCGCTCACGAAAGGCGGCTTGCGCCTGTCTATTGCGCTGCTTGCGCTCCTCTGAGGTGGCATATATCTTACGACGCTTGGTTAGTCCTATCTTCGACATAGTGATTGGCGATTCAATTGCTGCAGCCATGACAGGCAAGGCAATTGGCATCAGGAAGGCTCACAGGTTTACGGCCGCCTTTGCGCTTCTGCTGCTGGGGCTCTTCCTGGGTATATGTCTCCGCCAGACCGGGTTCCGGCGACGATCCGATAGAGTCGGTCGAACCATCGCGCGAAGCCTCTGCCTTGCCCACGGGGGCCGTCATATCTGTTACGAGACTATCTCCCATCTACGGCCACCGTACCCCTCCGTCCAGATAGAGGGGCACCGAGGCGCCAAGAGCTGCGAGAGATGCGACAAAGGCAGGTCGAAGGAGATAGCAGGAGGCTCTGGTCGCTTAGACGCGCTTGTGCTGGGCAGCCGCAGCGCCGGGTCGAAAATCGATACGGTTTGTATGGGGTTTTGATAATGTATGATAAGAAGAGGGCGTTCGGGCCTGTGTGTGGTCGCGCAGTAGTTGTGAGGTAAGCTCTTGGGTAATGGAAACAGAGATGGGCTCGAACGGAGGGGCGGAGTGCTGGACTTGAAAAGGCGGGCGGACCACTCTCTGCTGCCCAGATCAACTCCTCCCGTGTGGTTAAAGCTCGCTCGACTCGCCTCGCCCCAGAAGGCCTCCTCTCAGGCGCGCAGCAAATGGCAGCCGTGCTCCCGCTGCTGGGCACTTCGCACGCGCAATGACGGCCAAGCGAGCGGGTGCGCGGTTGGCCGAACGCTCAGAATTTTCTCGCGGGGTGCTCACGCTGCATCACGGCTCTCGCTGTGCCAGACGCCTGGTGGACGACGCCGAACATGGCTGCCCCAGCCGAGCTGGATCGCGATGCCCCATGCGGCGTAGCCTGGAGGTTAGCTCCCGCGCCACTAGAAAGTTTTGTAGCCTTTCTCCGGCTTCTCCATGGACGCGCAGGCAGAGCGCGAGCCTGGCATTGTTATCTAGCAGGCGGCGCCCGTTCGAGCGCGATCAACTCGCGACGTGTGTGCGTCTGTCTGATTTCATCCACGCGGCCATGAAGTCTTCCCGTGAAAAGCAAGCAACCAGCCGTCGTCGTCGCATCCACGCCAGGCCACCGACGTCGGAGCGCGCCCCTGCACCGGGGCCACGCACCTCGCCCTTATGAAGTCACCCTACTCGCGGACGGCATAGGTAAGGCTGACGAGCAGGTTCCATCTGGATGATCTGATATGACGAGGGTTGCATTATCGGCGCAGCTGGCGATAACGATCGATACGACGGCAGTCACTCTATACGACATGCCTCACCGATGAACCTGGGACGTCTCTCAGCCGTGACCAGGACAACGCCCGTAGCCATCACGCTCCAACCTCTCAGGGTCATCACGTGGCTGCCCCGGGCCTACTAGTGGATGCCAGATCTTGGAAGAAGGAGCCACCAACGGTCGCATCTGCCGTGTGCATTGCACACCACCACCACACAACTGCTACTCTGGACACGTTATTCCGCCAGCGCAACCACCGGCTCCCGAACCGCTACCGAAGTCTGGCCTGGGGATCGCCGAGGTCGTTGCTTCATGCACCACTTGAGCTCTGTTGGCCCGAAGCAGCCGTAGCGTCACGACGCTTTTTCTCGGCTGAGCAAGCAGGTGACCTATGGGGCGGGCGGTCGAGACTCGTACGAAGGCATTAGTTGCACCCTGTCGCATCGTGACCTTCCAGTTGTTCGAACATTCGAGACGCGTCAAATCGGCAACGGACATTCGGCATTGCCCAGGTGCGGACTGTCGGATTCCACACCTGAGTTCTTTTGAACAGAAAGCATCAAAGTGCTAATTGACGCCCGCGCATGTACATCGTGAACCGAATTCCCGAAAGTCTATCCTAAACACGTAGAGGTTTACGAGTATGAGGATGGCCTGAAAATGTAGTCTCACTGAATCACTATAGAACACTTCACAGACATAATATACGGGCTGAGATCCTCTTTAGCGCGTCTGAGTACATTGCTCAATAATTCCAACGCAGTGAGATGCGCTCTTTCCAAATGTCAGGTTTGTTCCTGCCAACTCCAACCGCCACGTGCGGTACAATCGTGTCAAGAGCAAGCTCACACGGGCTCCTTCTCTCACTCCTAGATGCAATGTTGCGGGAGATCGTGTCATCCGACCTCCACCATGCACACCTCAGGCGACAGTCCTCACCCCTACCAGGATATCCAAGCATCGCATAGTCTCATATGACTTCCATCCTGTTTTCAGCAGTATAGATCCCGCATCAATCACTCGGTCAGCTTCTAGTCGCTAGTCGCCAGCTTCGCGCGCAGTCTATCGTTTACGAGGTGCTCGGCGCGATATCGCTTCTCAAAGCATTGCTGACGGTAGGTAGCAATGACATTTTCCGAGATCGCGGGACGGCTGCTGAAAGGGTCAGGACACTCGCAGCCGCCGCCTGGCAAAGAGCACCTAATCGAATCTCATCCTTCGCCAGAGCGAGCCAGCATTTCCTCCTTCCTAGCTTCGCCCGAGTCAGACAACGGTCATATCACAGCCCGCGAAGGCATGCTCAGCATCCATCTTGGCGAACAAAGAGGACACTCCACCGCCTCTTCGTGGGCGAAACCTAGACCTCTATCAGACATTCGCGAAGTCACCGAATCAAGCTTTGCAGACACTCTACCCCGGAACGCCCTGACAAACAACTTTCCCCGAAGCACCTCTCGCACGGAGATGTCGCGGAAGCCCTCTGTTGCGACAAGACGACGTCCGAGCAACGACAACAGGTACGGTGAAAACGTAGAACCTGATCGAAAGAATAGCATCGAAAGCAACGGCATAAGATCCATCCACAGGGGTCGGACGTCTAGATCACCATCTCCATCAAGCCCTGCAGATAACCACAGCATATCGAGCATATACAGCATACCAGCCGGCACCGTCCCGCCACGATCGTCCTCGAGAACTCGTGCACCTAGCACTTCTCGAACCCGACAGCCACAGCAGATACCACCTATACACATAACCCAAGCGACTGCGACGAACACGCTCAGCGCCATACCTACTATACCGTTTCCGCCTCCTAGCAATAATGCCAATACTATCATTCGGCATGGTCAATCGCAGTCCCCCTTGCGCCACATTGTGACTCGCCTTGACCCCACAACTCATGACACCCACCGACGCATACCGTCCAGAACATTTGTTCGCGATCCACTATCGAAAGAGCTGCTAGAGTTTCCATCACACCGACATCCGCGAATCGACCTTGGCCTGGACTTATCCGCAGGCATTTTCGTGGGCGGAGGCTCCATCGAAGGGACCGTCCAGATAAACGTCGACGATGCAGAGCGAATACGTCATAGAAGGACTCTGGACATTGCTCGGATATCTATCGATCTTCTTGGGACGGAGGAAGTGAGCGGCAACAGACGAGCTGTCTTTCTGAACCTCGCTACAGAGCTCATTGATGAGCAGAACCCGCCGCCTCAAAACATGGTAGATACTCAAGAGCCCATAAGCTCGGCAGATCTTTTCTGGCATCTGATGCCTTCTACGACTAATCTCGCGTTCAATCTGAGCCTACCTCTCAACGTTGGTCCTCCGCCCTTTCATTCAAAGAATGCGAGAATCCGCTACATACTTTGCGTATCACTTCTTATTCGCGATCAAGGAAGGCAGTACATTGTCAGGACTTCCGAAGATGTCACAGTGCTCTCAGTGTACGATCGTATGGGGCATCTAACTTTTCAATGCCTACTCTCACAGTGCTGACATGCTCGCAGCTGAAAAGGCACTCATGTCGCTACCTAGTCCACTGACTGCCTCAGACGAGTGGATAAAGCCCCGAGAAACTACCGTTGAAGTTGTGCGCGTCACTGCAGGCTTGCATCGACAGGTTTGGGTCAGCGGAACCAGTCTCTACGTCGATGTTCATGTTGCCAATAATAGTCGCAAGCTAGTCAAAAAGATTGAGCTTCAGTTGGAGAGGGACATACTCTGCTACAAACACGTTTGTTATGCAAGCTTGACATACTATCCTGTCATGACGCTAATGAGAGTGCTTCGTAGATTGCTGCGGCTACGATGGAGAAGTCTGCGGGTCAGGCTCGCATCTTTGACAGCAACGAGCGGTCTATTCTCAGTAAAGCAGTCGTCAAGCATGGTTGTGCCGGCTGGAACGGTGTTTCTGCACAACAGACTCATATCAGGACCTGTGATCTCGAACTACCCCGTGGCCACGGTACGGTGAAGTGTGGTATGTACATTGGCACGAAGTCGTGTACTCGGTCCCTAACCAGGACAGGCAAATACTTCGAAGTCAGATACTTCTTGAATGTCATTGTAGCCAGCGGGCACACGTCAGTCTTGCCGTCACTATCACCGATCAAGCTGACTCCCTGCAGAAAGCTCGTCACCGTCCAACTACCAATCGTACTCATCCACATGGTGCGTCTGACTGTCACCTTCCTCAACATCCGCTAATTACCACACCCTCAGAACTCTCTCGATGTGGTCCCCAACTCCGTCGCCCAAGTCGCCATGGCCATCGAAGAAAAGCGCACAGCCCGCCATTCTCCACCGCGTCTAGGCCGCCGCCCATCCCAATCCGTGCAAGGCCGTGCCTTCGCAGCACCACGCATGCAATCTCTAGAACGTATGCGCGCACGCGACGAAGCCATCCAAGAACTCGGCCAAGCCCTCGAGCAAAGCCCCCGTAAATACGGTCTTCGTCGCGCAAACTCCAACTTCGACTACCGCACCCCGCCTTCCAATCGTAAAGGCAGAATCCTAGGCGACGGCGAAGCAGCAGATCTCCAAGACCGTCTGCGCCGTGTAAGGTCAAACGAGACGATTGGATCGCGACCCCCAACTCTACACTGCGTCAATTCTACACGGTCCAGACGAGGCGCTGCATCAGCATTTGGATTCCGAGAAGCAGAGGTTCGAGAGGACATTGAACTTGGGGGGTTGGGTGCATCGGGTGATGGGCCCTTGAAGGAGAGGTTGGAGAGAACTAGTGATCGACAGTATCGGTTCAGCAAGAAGAAGAGCGTGGAGAAGTGGAAGGGCGTGGCGAATGTGGGGGTTGGGTGGTTGAAGGGGAATGGGGTGAAGGATGAAAGGGAAAGGGAGGGATGGGTGTGATGGGCGCACTTTACTTCCCTTGACAGACATCCTGTACGTTGAATAGAGCGTGCGTTACGTCGAATGATGATACTTTACCCTTTAGTTCTGCTTGACTGTGCCATCGTCACATGTGATAAAGCGGAGCGATCGAAAAACATGGTCAAAAGTAAATGTGAGGTTATATAATTTGTTCTGTCCTAATGACAGCCTGGATGCTTCGATGTATGATACAATCGTGTCTCATAGTAATCATTAACCCCCTCTTCGCCTTCCTTATGCAATATCATACAGTATTATACATGGCGTGTCGAGGTAATCGTAACAGGAAGGCTTGCGTAATGGCAGAGCCTCGTGCAGCTAGAAAGCCTATGACCTGCTCTTCGCGAGCTCAGACTGAGCGGTCGACGTAGGTCCACCCTTAACACGCTCTCCACCCGTAACCTTCTTCTCACCTTCAGTGATGTCGTGCAGCGCCTCGCTGGTAATGGGCTCCTTGGCATGACTCTGCGCCTGCGCAGTGGGACCTCCAGGCACGGGATCGTCCTCGCCCGTAAGCTTCTTCTCTGCATCGGTGATCTTGCTCAGCGTCGACGAGTCTAGCTTTCCTGATGCGTTGGAAGTGTTGGCGCCAGTGTTGTTGTTGTTGGACGGAGCTGAACCGGATGTGAGAGCAGACTGAGCGATGGATGTGGGACCTCCTTTCAAGACTTCATCGGAACCAGTGAGGACCTTCTCGCCCTCGGTGATGTCGTGGATGACTTGCGCAGTAAGGTTCTGGCCAACGTGCTGTTGCGCCTTCGCAGTGGGGCCGCCCTTGTGTGGTTCGTCCTTGCCGGTGATCTTCTTCTCGGCAGCGGTGATCTGCGAGATGAAGTTGGAGTCGACCTGAACAGACATGATGCGTGTTGTTGTGAAAGTGCGGTGGTTACTGAGGTCGTTGATGTTGTTCTCGAGCGGTGCTCTTTGCGATGTGATGCGAGCTGTTGGTCGTGCTGCGAGGAAAACGTTGCGGTTGATACGGAGGAGTTTGGAGGCCATTGTTGCTGCTTGTTTATATGTCGATGGATGATGAACTGGAAGGAGCAACTGTGTGAGATGTACAAGCTGAATATGTAGTGTGATGGAGTACTGATGTAATGCGAAATTGATATCGTCTGAGGTGTGCGCTCAACGTGACGTTTACTATGGGGAAAGATGGATTGCAATGCGCATTTGCAACTTGTCGGTCTGCCAGTGCACGCAAATCTCTGCATCAATGGCGACGACATCGTGCTGATGACCCTGAGATGCAGGTAACACATCTCCGATGGACGCGGCGACTGTGCGATGCGCGCGCATGATGTGGTGGAGCCATGATGTCAGCATCCTGGGGAACTGCGGCCATGACGATTCGGGTGCACTAGCGGTGAGCTAACATGGCGATGCGTTTTAGGGGTCCAGATGCAGAATTCACGACATCAATTACGACGCGATCAATGCAGAGAGTAGTTGCTCAGCTACTGAAGGTCGTTCGAGTGGGTGTAGTTCACTTCAGTCTGACACTTCGGAGATTGCGGAATTACCGGCTTTGGTGGCGCATGTCAGACCATACGAGGTTCTCGCCCGTTGCTTGATTGCAACGCTATTGGATACTATCAAGTATCGTTTCGGTCGCACCTACTTGTACGGCGTGCGTTACGCCTTGCTACGTTGTATGTATACAGCCAATCGCTCCGAGATGGCACTCGCGGCGATAAGGCATGCGACGGAACGACTATGAGGCCGCTGCTGCAGAAGCTGGCAATCATATAAGAAGAGTTGGTGCATTAGATTCTACGTGCATGAAGTTTACAACAGGACAAGAAACTCTCCCAGCGCTGTGTAGCTCTTACGAATTAGATTCTCAGCTTGTTGCTACCTAGGTACACTCCTACAATGTCGTTCATCAATCCAGCCGCACCCGCGTCTCTCCTAGGCAGACATCGTATCCTCAGTCCCACGGCAGCCGTTCGAGTCTCGCCTCTTTGCCTCGGTGGCATGAATTTCGGTGAAGCATGGAAGGCCACTCTCGGAGAATGCACCAAAGAAACAGCCTTTGCAATGCTGGATTACTTCTACGAGCAGGGCGGCAATTTCATAGACACGGCCGTCAACTATCAGTTTGGGGAAAGCGAAGAGTGGATCGGGGAATGGATGGAAGTGCGAGGCGTCAGAGATGAGATGGTACTCGCGACCAAGTTCACCGGTATGCAGATCACCGAGAGAGAAAAGGAAGGCGGTGCGAGGTGCAAGAGTAATTATGGAGGCAATAGCGCGAAGAACATGCATACAAGTATTGAGCGTTCGCTGAAGGCCCTCAGGACTAGTTACGTCGATATTGTGAGTTCCTTCTTCGGGCTCGGTATTCCGCTACGACTGCTATAATTGACTGCATCATAGTACTACGTTCACTTGTGGGACTCAACAGCCTCCATACCAGAGCTCATGAACGCACTCAACGACCTCGTCTCCTCCCGCCGAGTACTCTACCTAGGCATCTCCGATACCCCCGCCTGGATTGTCGTAAAGGCCAACTGCTACGCCCGCCAACACGGTCTCCGCCAATTCTCAATCTACCAAGGCCGCTGGTCCGCCGCCGATCGTTCATTCGAGCGCGAAATCATCCCAATGGCACTCGACGAAGGTATGGCTTTAGCACCTTGGGGCGTTATCGGCGGAGGAAGCTTCAAGACAAGGGCGCAGAGACAAAACCCAGAAGACGGCGGCAGGAAGATGAAAATAATGGTCATCGGCAACGAAGAAAAGGTCAGCAACGTGCTCGAAAATATCGCAAACGCAAAGTCTCCGGTCCCGCCTATCACTTCCGTCGCTCTCGCATACGTTATGCACAAGTCACCCTACGTCTTCCCTATCGTCGGCGGTCGCAAAATTTCGCATCTCGAGGGCAACATCCACGCTCTTGGTTTGAGTCTTAAATCCGAGGAGATCCAGCAAATTGATAAGGCATATGGCTTCGAAATGGGGTTTCCGCATCAGTTCCTCAACCCAAGGAATACGGCAATCTTGGAGCCGGAGGATAATCGGTTTGCGAATAACATGGGCGTTTTGGATCACGTCAAGGGGCTGAAGCCGATTCCGCCGCAACAGGGGGCGGTAATCGAGAAGTGACTGGTCCTTCCGTTGGAGCAGGCGACGTGGGGTTCGCCGGCAAAAGATTGCGTACGTTAGCCCGTAGAGACTACGAAAGGTGAATGGGATAACGCACACATTACAAAGCCGGAGCGCGAAGGCTTCAAAAGCTTTCCTGTTATAGACACTGAAGAGTCAAGTCAGTCTGTAGCTTCCCTCTTTCATCCTCGTCATCAAACTCTAATCGCTGAAACTAGATGTCGATTGCAACTGCATCCATTCACTTTTGTATGTGCCAAGAAACGGAGCTGCAGCCTTCGCTTCCTCCTACTAGTCGCGATCCGTTTGTACCTCTTCATGCACCGCTACGCTCGTCATCCTAGCTCTAGCCCGAACGAATACACAAGTATGCTTCGACGCTGACTTCAAGCACCCACTAAGCCCGACTTCTCATTTCAATCCCCCCTCTAGATCGTATCCGGGTTGACTCAAAGAGAAGGAACAAGCATCAATGTCTTCTTTACTACTCCGTTCCGCCAGTCCCAACGTTCGCGTAGAAGACGAGGTCTGGGACATGATCTTTCCAGACGCAAAGACCACAAAGAACAAGAAGGCCGCCAGAGACACCGCTCAGTACCCCGGCCCGATCACAGCCAAAGACATTGACATCCGAGATTGGCTCTTCACAGACCGCAAGAAACTCGAGTCCGAGCACAACCGTATCAAGATCTTCATCGACGCCGAGCTCATTACAACAATCTCGAAGCCACTGTTTCGAGCGACTTCGACAAAGACCAGTGATATCCTCGTAGATGATACAGTCATGCTACCCGCAGCCACTGACGCGGACGCGGTATCTCAACTTGTCGATTACCTTGAGGGTGTCATCTCGACCCCTAGCGAACCCCAGTCTCTCCCACTTAGCCTACCAATAGTCGCGACCCTGAATATATGCGCAGCCTCGGCGGCACTCGGGATGGACAGGTATGTCGACAACCTATACAAAGAGTGCGAAGACCTCCTACGAACATGCATACCCTCGTGGACAACAATCGACGCCATAACTTCATATGCGACAACAACACCGCACTTCTCCCGCCTCTTCCGCATCATGGTACTTGATCTCGCTACACGCGTCTGGAACGAAACAGCCTCCAATGTGGAAGTCTTCCAGATCCAGTTAAATCCTGTCCTTGAGATGGCGGTTAAGAGGGCGAATGAGAGATATAAAAGCCTTTTGTGCAGGAGGAGGAAGTATGAGTTTAGAATAAGAACGGGTTATGAGTATAGACATGTGAATTGGGGATGGTTGGTGCGTACGAAGGAAGATGAGGAGGATGAGGTGGGGCTTGACGGGGACGATTATGATGGGCCCGTTAGGAGGAGGTGAAGATGGAGGATTACATGCATGGGGCAATGGTTGATCTACTAGAAAGTAAGACAGCTATAGTAATTGTCCGCAAAGAACTAATCTAAAAGAGATCGATTGTAAGACATGGCCCAGGATCCCAACTTTTATTTACCCTTACTAATAGCCTCAAAAGCATACCCCCTCGCCTTCGCCGTCTCTTTCATCCTCCAACTCTCAATATACCCCTCCACATCATCACACCCATTCTCCTCCCCCGGAACAGGCTCCCCCCACGTCCCCCAATACGGCACAACGCCCGTCCACGTCTTCTTCACCAACTCTTTATCCTTAAGATCATTCCTATCCTCGCTCGGCCCGCCGGTCCGTATCTTTGCGCTTGCCTGTTGCCACACAAATAATGTTAGCACGGAAAAAGGAACGTAGTAGGAAAGAATACCGATATCTCTGCAAAGAGATGGAAGGGGAGAGAGAGGCAAAGAGAAGACAACCTACACTCTCAATCCTAACCCTAAGTATACTCGTACTCTTCAACTCCGCACTACTCGGGGGCACCCTACTTTTCTCCCAGCGCTGAGGCAACATATTATCAGTGATGGCTTTCATGGCGTACAGCGCTTCGTCGGCGTCTTCGACGAGTTCGGCGTAGCCGTAGACGATGGCGGAGCGGTAGTTGCAGGAGTTGTGGAAGGGGGTTAGGGAGAGGACGAGGCCGTCGAGGAAACTGGCGGCGATGGTGATGGGGAGACCGGGGGTGGAGGTATCTTTTGAGGACTTGAAGATGCGGCCGGAGACGTAGCCGTGGATGTAGAGGGTTTGGGGGGTGGAGGAGGGGTCTGCGGACTGGTTCTGTGGGGTTAGGTTAGTGAGTTGATGTTTTCATGCTTTTGTTGTTGTTGTAGGACGGTGGATGGTGGGAGGGAAGGAATTGACGTACCTCGTAGTTACCCGTACATCCCAACATAGGCAAGACGACCGGGAAAGGGTGTTCTGGGTCGACGAAGGAGACGTGGAGAATTGGACAGGCGTTTACTAGGCTGTGGATTGTTGCGTAGTCGTATGTGCCTGGGTTTATTGATGTGAGTATGCGATTTCGAGCACGCAAGAGTGCGAAAAAGATGAACGTACCTCGATTTGCCAATCGACCGACTTTGTTGACGGCGGTTTTGGGGTATTCTGGTGATGCCATTGTGTAGTATCCGTTGCTAGATCTTTGAAGTGACTTTGTTCTGACCGCCAGCAAAGATTGGCAAGAGAGAGAGAGAGAGTGATGCTGAGATCTGAAGTTGAACTGGAGTGCAATCGTATGCGAGGTTCAATCAAGCTTTGTACCTTTTCCTTTAAGCTTTCTGTGACTCCTACTCCGTGACTCCTTCAACACACATATATGCACAGACGCACGACGCTCATCAGGCAAGCCATTGTACACGTCCAAAGTGTCTGGAAGGATGACGGCACCCGGCAGGACTTGCTACATGCGGAAGCGGGGCCGTAATCGTGTGAGTAATCATTGGTGGATGGCGTTTACACTGCGCGACTACCATACCTCGCGTACACGGTCAGGCGTGTAGGGCGTCTACAATTGTTAGTAGCTTCAAAACATTATACATACCGCGGAACACTGGCTGCGGATACTTCAGGTTATCCACGGTCTGTATACAAATCAGAGCTGCGAGTATGCGGCGATAGTATTCCATATCCATCTATGGTACTAGACAGAGTACAACATGTAGTCGAAGTAAACCTAGTCCCAATCCAATCCGGGAGAGCCTCAATGGGCGATGCAGTCCAAAAGTCCAATTCCAAAACTCCGATCCATGCAATTCTTCTTCCGCTCTTCTTGACTCATTCTCCACTCTATCATCTGAAACTCCACGCCGTTCTCAGTCCACCATTGACACTCTCCAACTTCAAACACTGATACGGACTGCTCTGCGGATCATAATACAACCCTTCCAGCATCCCGCTTCTCCGGTCAAGCGCCACGTAGTAAAAACCGCTGATGGTAAGCCCGCAGCCTGAGTCGTCGAATGTCGCTTGTTCGGCATCGTTCGTTACGGAGTTGAAGAGGGGTTGTGGTGTGATTTCGACTTCGGCACGGCCAGTTTGCGCGTTGCGGACTATGCGGTAGGGCGAGGGCTGGAGTTGCGAGGTATGCGTGGAGGTAGCAGCGGCGGGTGCGTAGTTGGAGGAACCTGTCGAGGCCCAGGGATTGGACGGTGGAGGGTCGGCGGAGAAGGAGGAGGGTATCGTGGTGGAGGGTGGGGGCTGAACGGGGTCAGGGGTGCTGCGGTTCAGGCTCTTTACAAAACATCGCTCTTTCCAGCGCATGAGTATCCAGTTCTGGCCCAAGACTTCGGTGAGCCACTTCTTGCTCGTCAGGGCCCTAACCACGTCTTCGTCGCTCATCTTCTGGAAAGGGGGCAGTTTGCGCCAGTATGTTGCGTCGTTTGCGGCGTTTGATTTGAAGGATTCGGTGAGGAGGGTGTAGTTGTTGAAGTCGAGGATTTCGCCTTCGAGGTAGGTTGTAATGGAGGAGGTGCGCGTGACGGACGGCGTGGCATTGCTGGGGGAAAACATGGTGTGGGGGTGGGGGTGGGAAGGTACGTTATACGCTTCCATGGTTGCAGAGAGAGACATCTGCTCCCAGTCCACGTCGTGTATGGTGACCTTGACGGGCCATCGGTCTTGGTGCGGTTGTGCGTCAGGCTGAGAGTTCCGGCTCGTGGAGACTTCGCTGGGATTCCATATCCACGGTCGGATGGGCGGTGGGAGTCCCGTGTGCCGGCTGTATGTGGTAGTCGCGGCAGCGGGCATTGTCGTTGCATGCTGACAGCCCGAGAGTATCGCGCCCGGTGCCAGCCACGATGTCTCGGTGGGCGGCGGTATGGCGAGGGTGTTTGCGACGAAGTCTGCGTGCTGCAGGAAGAAGTCCTTGGTCAGGAAACCGGCGTCTCGCGCACGCTCCCAGCTCTCGTCGTCGTCGCGGGAGTGGCGTATGCGCGACAGGTACTTCACGGTCTGCTCCAGCATGGGCGACGTGCGGGCCTCGGAGTCTCGGTGCGACGACATCTGGCGGCGTTCTCGCTGGACGGTCTCGGGGAAGAGGCTGGATCTGGCGGCAAGCATGTCTCGCAGGCTGCGGTGTGAAGCGTGGCGTGGCGGTGCTTCGCTGCTGGTGGCGGCTTCCCTGGTGCGCGCTGAGAAGCGTGGATGGCGGCGCACGCCTGCCGACTGGAGGATGGCCGTCGACCTGAGCGAGCTCTCGGGCGCGCCCGGGGCCTCCGTCGCGGGTGACCAGTCATACAGGCTGTTCTGACTGGGCACGCGGTCGCCATAGTTGTTGTCGCTGAGGCGGCTGAGGCGACTCATGACGCGGCGCAAGCGATCCCGCTGCTCCAGCTCGTCTCGCTGCCTTTCCAGCAGGCGCAATCGCTCCTGGGACCGGTCCAACCGCGCCTGGTCGCGCTCACGTGCTGCGCGGAGATAGTCGACGTGGGCGCGTTCGATGTCGTCGTCGCTGGGAATGCCTGCTTCGTCCGTCGGGGTGCCCAGCGTGGCGGCGAGGTTGAGCACGTCGTCGTTTACGGGGCTCTCGAGCTCGCGCAGGGCCGAGATGAAGGTGGGTTCCGCGTCGTCCTATTGAGCGGCTACGTCAGTCATGCACTTAGACCACGGCTATGTGACAACATGTGGACGGCAACATCTGAACGGCGGGTGCTTACAGGCGAGTTGGCGGGCGGCATTATGACCAAGCAGGCGGCGCAGCGGGCATGGCGGGACGGAGCGATGGATGAGCTGTCGCATGCAATGCACGACGTCGGATGCACGATGTCTCAAGAGCAAAGGCGTGTCCTCGGCGAAAGTGACGCGACATGTCAAACTCTTAAGCCTGAGCCATTGCCCCGAAAAACCAAAGACAGCTCTGCCTGGCGACCGTCATGGCACCTGATAGCGCACGCCATCGAGCCATGCACTCCCCCCGTTGTCCCGCTGCTGGCTTCCGCTCCGCTCTGCCAATAGTCGGCGCAGAGAGGCATGCCGCACAACTCAATGCATTCCTCGCTCGCCCCAGATTGCCCTCATCCGTTCCGCGGGCATGGGTGAGTGGTCTGTGCGTCGACAATAACCTTAACTAACATCACATTGACGATGCCTGATGCTACAGCCCATCTAATAGCAGGCAGTCAGGTTTTGCAGCAGAATTAGGCATTGATGATTTTCAACTCGTACGCACTAGCACCCCAACCAAAACTTCATCCCGACAGTCGCTCCTTCCTCTCCAACCCCTCCAACACCACCAGAATCCTTCCCACCAACTCCGCAAACTCCCCATGATCCCCCCACGTATAAGGTCCCAGCCTCGCCTTACTCGCCCTAACCAAGTGCATCAACTTCCCCCTCAACTCCCTCCTCGGCTCCTCATTCGTACACATCGGAAACGTCAAATCCAGCAACGCACTCGTCGCCGTCTCCACCATCGTCTTGCTACACCACACATGAAACCCATGCATAATCACATCCTCCAGACTCAGCGGTGCGTGCACCGTCCCTGGTGGCATAAGTAGTAAATCCCCTTTCTTGAGGTAAATAGGGAAGCCGGGTTTGTTTGGCGCGTACTGGATGCCTGCTTGTCGCGATACAGCCCATTCCTCGCGTTCAGAGGGTGTAAGCGACCATGTGAACCAGAGTTTCGAGCCAGTCTCACACAACACACCGATGTACAGGCCGTGCTCGTCAACGTGAGGGAAAGACCAGACGCCTCGTTTGCCCCAGAGAGCGAAACCAGTTTTACTAGAGAGATCACTGGGGTTCGGGTCGGAGTGGTTGGACATGCCACCGTATTCCGTCGCTTCGGATAGGATGCTGTAGTCGGTGAGATTGTCGAGCTCCCAGGGTCATACGTTTTGACGTACGGGCCGGATGTCGAGCAGGTTTATCGGGAGAGCGGTGGGGTCGGACATGCGTTTTAGGGCGGTGGAGATGGTGAGCCGGCGGGTTATGTTTTTGGAGGTGAGGTCTTGGATGTCCATGTAAGCTTCAGCTGAGGCATCTTTGCGGAATTTGAGGACGGCTTCGTAGTGTTGGGCAGAGTAGAGGGTGTGTGGTTCCGGGCTATTGGTTAGTTCCAAGGGGACGAGGAGGGGGATTTGGAGGGTGGAGCGCTGGAGTAAGTCGCGTGCTTCTGTAGAGGTGCAAACGATGAGGTTGTGTTGCCAAGTCGGTGTGGACTGCTGGATGCGCTGTTCGTACTCGGTAGCGGTGATGGGCACAACGTCTTCTCCGCGCTTGATGATGTCGATATAGCCCTTGGACTCTGGGATGAATCTCTTCTTCCGGGTTTGCGCGATGTTGGACTTCTGAACTTGCATGATCAGCTCTTCTAGCATACATATTCCACTCTCGAGCGACGACTTAGCGGTGGCAGGATAGCTCCCGATGAAGTCTTCAGTCTCGATAGCTTGATACATTACCGAGAGAGTACAGGATCGAACCTGCTCAAATGGCTGAACGGTAGCTTCGGACAAGCGCCTCCTTTTGCATGGAGGAGGGCTGTTTGTCACATCTTCCGTACGCTTGTTAGTGGTCTCGGTGTTAGCAAACATCTTTACGATCACTGTTGGTACTCGCGAGTAGGAGTTTGATCTTCGCCTGTACATCGGGCGGTGCAGCCGTCGTTATATCCAGTTGACTGGTGCTTGTTACCCGTCTAAGCGTATTCTCGAACTAATGAACCTCATCAAGGACCTTCGCGAAGATGTAAGACAACTCCATAGAGCCAGAAAGATATGACTGGCATGATTCCCTGGTCGCCAAGGGCCGAGGAGGTTGAGCTATTCACTCGGGTGCTCGACAATCAACGCACTCGGGCTGAATGGACGTGTGGAAAAAGCTTGATATATAAAAAGACGCTTAGCAAGTGAATAACGGTGTATTGCAAACATCCCACACCGTATATAGGACCATCTGACCAACTGAACTCCGAGTATCGGCCTTTCCTTTACTTCCTCTATGCCACTCGCACGAGTCCCCTGACGTATCCCATGATCATGATTTGCTGGAGACGCAGCAAGAGACGTCTTGGCGAGCTCTACTAGGCAGAAGTGTGATCAATTGGGCGAGGTCGGCTGTCATTGTCATTCACTGCCAAGACTACTTAGTGTCACCTTTTTCTGTATCGATTCTCCCGCCCCCCTACTCTTATATCTCTTTGTCTACGAGGGTATCTTATACCTCAGTTTTCAGGTCTACAGCTGAGAATACCCGCCATAGAATCCAACCACGATAACCTTCTACAACACACCTAGAACACCACTTGTGTGTAAGGCCCAATAATCCTTTTGCTTCTCGACCGATTCTGACGGCTACAGAGACACGCGACGACTCAATTCAAAATGTCCGACAATATGGTAGCCCCCGCGCCTACTTCAAGCGCTTTTCTCAACGATCAGAAGGTCCCCGGTGGTCTCGAGCACTTCCACAACCTCGGTCCTATCCAACGCCAAAACCTAGTAAAGAGCAATAAAATCCAATTTGAGGACCACCTCGGCAGCGTCATAGAGTCCGGAAACAACCTCACTGAGTTGCCAATCGCCCTCTTCGAGGCTGTATCAGAGAAGCACGAACTGGTTATTGATGGCAAGATTGTAGTCCAGGAGGGCATTCAATCGAAGCTGTGAACTACATTGTCTCCCTAGTACTCGCACTACCGACCGCGCCAAAGATCCATCAGTTCCAGAGGACCTGCATTTCTGCTGTGCCGCAGACGCATTAGGTATTGGCTCCTTCACCCAATGCATCTTCAACCACTTCTTCCAGCGCATCAACACCAAAGTCCCTCCAACACCCGTCATCAACATCACCACCGCCTACAACTATTGGGTCTCTCGCGCTCTCCATGCATATACGACCAGATATTTGCACAATCTAGGGGCCGCTGAGGGCAGGACACGGGTCTTGCGCGAAACGATGCTCGCCATTTGCGCCGGAAGCAGCTCCGAAGATGTTCAGGGAGCCCTCAAGCGCGTTCAAGATGTCGACAAGGAAACTGCGTTGAACGCTCCTATCTCCATCGCTGTTCGATCCGGTCGTGTAGCCGCTGTACAAGGATGCATCCAGGCAGGCGCCAGCGTCGACCTCGCTGTGCGTTCCAACATTCCATCACCTCGGAATGACAACACCACACTCCTTGACGTGGCCATGAATTGGAACGATGACCGCGTTGCAGACATTCTTATCAAGGCCAGCGCAACAATTTCACACATATCGCAGTGGCCAACAACTAGGCGTGTGTACGACGTGTTGCACAAGGCTGCCTCGCAACGCACTAGCGTCAAGCTGCCTGGCCTGAGGAACTTCAAACATATGAGCCTGGCAGATCGCAAGGACACACAGTATTAGAGGACTGGCAGCGAGGCCATGAAAGTGGAGTCAGCTTATACGTGGTGAGAGTGATGGACTGGAGCATACGGAAATAAGATGACAATTCCCATGGAGGGCTTTTGAGGTATACATTGTCACGTAATATAAAAATCTCCCAAAAAAATCATAATAAATGCGCCAGGGTTGTTCATGGGTCAAGACGTCCAAAAAGGTGCCTTCGTTACTAATATACCATGTACATAACACCGATAAATCCGCGCCGTTACCTCTCCGCCCCAGCCACCATGCTCATTCTCTTGATATTCCTTCAGAACACGGCGCTTCGCCAGGTCTTGCCCTTCCAGTGTGCCGCACGCTTGAACAATGACGACCTTCGCTCCGATGATCGTTTTAATGTCGTGGATAATATTCTCCATTGGCATCGTGTATGACAGTGACGTAACCGAGTTGCCCGCAAACCCCAGCCCGAGAACCATGGCGTCGTTCGCATTATGCAATACCACACTTCCTGAATCGCCGCCAGCTATGAACGGGACGGTTTCCTCGTCTGCTAGACTTCCGAACGTGAGAACCACGTCATCGAACTTTTCTCATCCTCCCGGAACCCGATAGGCACCACCGATGAACAGTCGTCTCGGATACTCATGAGACTCCCAATTGCGTTGATCTGCTCGGTGCTCCAACTGGTCGCTCGCCCTCTCTTGGCTAATAAACAGCCGCTATCTGGAACTAGGTGTTTTTAACCCTTGATTATTGTATTCGGTATGATGTTGACGGCGGAGGGAGTTCCCGTGATTATATTCTTGACTTTCGAGTCGTGGTTGTCTTGATCAGAGCCGAATTAAGGCCCCATCTCAACGTCCGTCCGCCAATTCTTTACTTCATGGTGGTTAAGGCGTTCCTGTCTAGTACTGCATTATTGGAAGGTACTCCCACGCGGCTCGGCCCTTACCACCCTTCAACATTGCAGACTATTGGCAACATGCGTACTGTTTACTTTAAGCTAGACAAGCTAACAGAGGCGGAGTCTATGTACGAGCGAGCACTTGGAGGAAAAGAGAGAGTACTAGGACAAAAGCATAGATTAACAGTAGAGACTGTTAGCACCCTTAAAAATCTGCACATGCGCCAAGGCAAGCTGATAGAAGCAGAGCAGATGTACGAGTGAGCGTTGCAGGAGTTCAACGAATTGCTAGGTGCTAGACATCCTTCAACACAACAGACTATCATCAAACTAATAATTGTTTAGTAAAATCGAGGGAAGCTTGCGGAGGCACTACAGATGCAGGAGCGAGTATTATCACAGTAGCGCTAGGCGATAGAAGTTACACTCACTAAAGAATACTAAACCTGTCCTTGACCAAACATATGTACAAACGGGAGCAGTGACCCTTAAAGCAAACACATCTATGCAAGGGCTCTTTGTGGGCTAACTGGAGTGTTCGGTCAGCCGAATGAGAGCTACATAAACTTAGTAGCAAAAGTCAACGCTTTGATGCTTTCTAATTAAGTAAAGGAAGCACCTTCGAGCATTGCAACAGCAAGTAGAGGGTTTACATCACAGCACGAGAGGAGGTAGAAGAGCTTGAGACTGCCTGCTTTCTACTATGCGTGAAGACTACTTGTGCTAAGAGAACAGTACGCTGTAAAATGCTTACTGATATTGGTAAGTAAGTTAACAGATCCAGCCGCTTCGGTGAACAAAGAGCAAGCGGTCACGCTGACAAGAGCTAGAACGAACAAGGAAAAACTCTCGTTAAGCGAGACAAAGGGTAAGCGTGGGATGGGAGTTAAGCGGCGTGTGCAAAGCGGAAGCTGCAAGTGCATGATAGAGTACGAGTCGATGGACGTTGAAAGTAAAATACATACTACTACGGCAACATGGCCCGCCGATCTCAACACTAGATTAAGTTGGTAGATTTCTTTAGGGCACTCTGGATTTGGTGGTGGTGATACTGCAAGCTTTTGGAAAAACCCACTGTATGTTGAAGGGATGCAAAGCTGGGGTTATCACGTATAGACTTGCCAGAGCTTATCAGCGTTTGAGTTGTATTCCTCCGCTCTCATCCGAATCACTGACGAAGTCTTCCAGGAATGGCTGCAGAGTTCGTGAAATTCCGTTCGCCGAAAGAACGTTAGCAACACTTTGCGGGAAATTGATTTCGCCTACCCACTCATTCATTGCCTGAAACACATATGCTCCCACAGACCCTAAAGCAGGCGGATTCTTGCAGAATTCATAAGGCACCTTTGCATCAGCTGCTACGATCAGAGCGCCGTCCACCTCTTCCATAGGCTGGTCGGCTTGCTCATCTTGAGCAGACCACGTGATGCCAGTGACTGAGTCAGGATGCCAAGTCTTAGGTGCAGTCTTCTCATGAATTTGGTGTAAGGCTTCTTATCGAAGCTCTTGACTCATAGCGTTCAAGATATCTCGCTAGTGGTTTGGACCGATGGTTTCGATCGCTGTGCTGGAATCTGGCGGGCGCCAATTTAGATAGATCCTGTTGTGGGAAACCGGCTCTACTACATGTCCTGGATGGTGTCGGAAGTAGAGAAGACAGCAGAAACATGCTGGCTTGCTGCAAGCAATGAATGAGTCATCACATGCAAATTGCATCCCATGTGCATAAGAATCTTCCAGAACTTGTATCTCAGCGTGAACGCAGGAATTCAGGTTAGGCCTAGCATAATTATTCAGAAAGCGGTCGAATAGCTGATAGCGAACGTCCATGTCTGTAAGAGCCTGCTGATAAAATTCGAGTTCGGGAGAGTGGGCTGGTAACATACAGAGAAGAATTTTGTCGAGTCTCATCAACTGATCTGGCGGAGGCATTGTGGTCTTGGCCGGGACAGGGATGCTACAGACTTCGAAATCGTAAAGCAGGTTGAGAAGTCTTGGTGCGCAAGATACCAACGTACCAGCCGCTCGAAAATAGTATCCCAGCCTCCCGATGTAGTGTCGGACCATACTGAAAGCCAAATGAATTGCGTCTTTGTTGCTCCCGTACGTGGGCTATGCACCGAATCGGGCAAGGATATGCATAAAATGCGATTTTCGATTTGCATAAGCAGAATGGCACAGGTCCCAATGACTGTTCACATGCTCCCAGCTTTGCGACCATTCCACGAGCCCGGGTTCTTTGGGAACGCTTCAGCATCAGCGTCAATAATGAGATATTCCAGGCTAAACTCACCAACCGCTTATTTCGTTTCGGTACGATAAGAACTACATCTTCGAAGTAAAGGATTCAGATGGCTCCTGTATTTCTTGATCCTTGGGGTTGCAAAATCAATGTATTGGGATGACAGCTCTACTGTTAAATTCGCAGCATCTGGAGCAGCCGATGCATGTGTGATTTGCGTCAAGAGTGAGCGCAGAAAAGTGATGATCTTCGTTCTCGAACCCGCGTTGGCCGCAACCCAGAATATGTGCTTTTGCGGTGTAGATTGTAACCCAATTGCTGTCACAGTCTCACCACCTTTATCGTAGTCGCACACATATGCCAAGGTTTCAAGGAATATCCTCCTTAGATCTAGAAGCGGTAGATGTCCAATACTAGTCAGTGAAGGTATCGCGGCTTGTACGGGATCTCCTCTTGTACGCCCAAGTATATACAGCAAGACGATAGATTCGTAGAATCGGCTGAGCAGACGTTCTTGCGGGTTGGTGCGTGGACGATTGGGTGAGACTGAATCTGCCCCAGGGCTTGCCTTCGATACTCTTTTCTTTTTCTTCGTCATTTTCAAAGTAGGTCGGGTTGGTTGTTCAGCGTGATTAGAAGAGTGCGAAGGCGCAGATGCAGTGGGGCTAGGCGATCGAGCGAAAAGCTGATGATGCGGGGATGGGAAATGATAAGCTCAGCTCCGCCCCTCATCGCGCGATGAAGTCGTGCGCGCCCAAACTTACCGAGGCTTTTCAGGCAACGTCCGATCTAGATCACCAAGTGACTATCATTACAAGACCGTGCGAGGTGGCGATAGAAAGCCACTGGTACAGTCTCGTAAGAGATTAGTGCTGATCCATCATTGGAAGGTTTGGAGTGTCACGTCGGGCGACATCTGCTTCAAACACAAGAACAAGAACTCAGTGAGAGTGACTACATGTTGTGATGGCTTCTTTTGCTATCCCGGTTTTCTTTCGCGGTGCCAGTCACTGAGAGCGCTTGTATCAGAACTCCGAACATACAGGCGACAAGCTATTTGACTGCTCGGGCTTTTTATCGTATAGCTATCAGCAGAGAAAGCCGCAGCATGGCTGAGTCGTACTTCAACGGGTAGAGTTTTCACAGTTGACCCTGGTTAGCGTTGGAGCCTTTTAGGATATGTAGGTGAGAGGCTTACCCATGAAGGGTGGTTTTTGGGGGATAGAAGCAATTCTTTGGAAGGCACTTTGAGTTGCAGTAGTGTTTTATGTGATGAGAATGGTGTAAAAGCGGAGTTAGGAATTGAAAGCTACGGTCAGATTAACGCGCCTAACAGATTGGGCTTGCTTTGATTCATCTGCAGTTTGGTTAGTGGTGCAAGCGGCCACCATTCAGTTCATAACTTGAGACAGCACAACAAGCGTTCAATCTCAACCACTGATTGGCGCCACTCAAATAGCTTCGCATTTCGGGCTTACTTTGGCACCGTAATACAGCAGTAACATTTCTGCCGTCGTGCTCTCCGTGCTGTCCCGAAGACCAGTCAGCACTAGACTGCTCTTCATAATCAATGAACCTAATGGCTTTTCCCGAGTGCTGTGACGCCGATCGTGCGGGGAAAAATGAGGGGTACTTCTTCTCTCAACACTTTACTGTCTTCACACAGCTTGGCAATTACTTGAAGGTTATGGTAGCAAGATATCGTAACTCCTGTATCCTGGATAGATGAACGAGCTGGTCTGCCCTTACAAAACGTTCTCAGTGCCAGTCTTGATAGCTGCTTAGCTGCTTTCGTAATTGTACCCAAGTAACCCCAAAAGACTCGCTATGAGCACCATTGAACGAACCAAGATGCAGCCAAAGTGCTCTTTTCATGCTTAATCAAGAATTATAGCATGTGCTTCGCCGTTTGAGAGAAACTTTGGCACCAAACTTAGCGCACATGTGCACATTGTGGCGGCGCTGATATGGATGCAGCAAGAGCCCCTCACGTTGTATGTATAGCGTTGTCTTCCGGGTATACCCAACAAAAAGCTGTGTTTAAGGAAAGCAGTGACAAGGAACAGCTATGAGAATTATTCTAGGTGAGGGGAGCTGGATTGGCACTTACTTTAGACTTTATGATTGGGGAATAATAGCGAGTCACACGCAAGAGATCCTAGTATCAGTCATCGTGCGTGGGGAAGCTAGCATGCACCAGCAAATCACGGTAGATACAAATCAGAAGATGGCAAGCGGCAATAAGCTTCGCTCACTGTAACATAGAAAGAACTCAAGGGCTGCCTATATCACGGAAACCTGGATCTATTCGTAATCTGACGACGACAGTTCAATTCATTCAAGTCATTAGGTCCTTCAGAGCACCGTACCAAGATGGAAACACATTCGAGCACTACGCCCACCAGCGGGCTCGTGAGCTCAACACTTCTCGACAAGATCGACAAACTTTTCGCCTGCAACGCTGGGGAATATGTTGATTTACCCCAACTAGTGGTGGTAGGGGATCAATCTAGTGGCAAGAGTTCCGTACTCGAAGGGCTCACGGGTTTGCCTTTCCCTCGAGGTAGTGGACTTTGTACTCGATTCGCCACACAGATCACGTTCCGCCGGTCAAGTGAAGAGAACATAGTCGCATCCATCATACCGGCCAAAAGCAGCTCCCAAGAAAGGCAAGAGAAGCTCCGTGCATGGGCCACAAGTCCCATGCAATCGCTTGACACAGAGTCTTTCAGCAACATAATGCAGCAGGTATGTAATGCTTATCATGTTCTTACGAATACTCACAAGAAAGGTAACGGATACTATGGAAATCGGATCGAACGCGGCGTACAGCCAGCGCACATTTTCAGAAGATGTTCTGCGTCTGGAAGTATCCGGTCCATCTCAGGAGCACTTCAGTGTCATCGATGTTCCCGGCATCTTTAAGCGAACAACACAAGGTGTGACCACCAAAGAAGACATCATCTTGGTCGATCAGATGGTACACAGCTATATGTCGAATCCGAGGTCTGTTGTGCTAGTTGTCATTCCTTGCAATGTCGATATTGCTACCCAGGAGATTCTCGAACGGGCAGAAGACCTCGATGCCGAGGGAATCCGGACTTTAGGCATTCTGACGAAGCCTGATCTCATCGACCAGGGCGGGGAAGGTGCTGTTGTGGATTTGTTAGAAGAACGGAAACACCGCTTGCGTTTGGGTTGGCATTTGCTTCGCAACCCCGGGCAGTCTGACCTGAACGCTGGACGATGTCGACATGCAATAGAGGCAGACTTTTTCACCAAAACAGCGCCTTGGAGAAGTTTAGATAAGGAGAAGTTGGGAGTACGAACGCTCCGAATTCGACTGCAAGCAATACTCGAGGAACATATCCGTCGAGAATTCCCTAAGGTTGGTCTACAGATTTGACTCAAGATATTCAAAATTCTAATAGCGTAGGTTCGGTCGGAGTTGTCACAAAAGCTAAAGACAGCTCTTCATGATTTAAGCCAGTTGGGCCCGAAGCGCCAGACGCGCGAGGAACAGTTCCAGTACATCGTCGATGTCGCTATTCGGTTCCAAACCCTTGTATCCGACGCACTACAGGCTGGTTATAGTCGATCAGACATATTTGCAGGCAATCCTACTCTCCGTCTCGCCACCCAGGCAATCAATCGAGGAGAGGCCTTCGCCAAGGCTCTAGACACTCATGGTCATGTATATCAATTTCAGACGAAGAGTCCGTCGACCAAGAATGGGATTTCAGGGCTTACCATACAAGGCTCCGCAGACGTCGAGGTACGGACGGTCAAGGACCATCCGGACATTGAGGACCTCACCCACGAGAATACTTCGGTCCCGGCCCCCTCAGATGACGATATTGTTGACTGGATCGAGGAGAAATACCGCGACTGCAGAGGTTTCGAACTTGGTACATTTGACGCCACCATTCTAAGTGTGATCTTGAAAGATCAAGCAGCCAATTGGGGTTCTCTCGCACACGGATACGTTAGCGACATGATCGCCTTGGTGCATCATTTCGTTGTCGAAGTGCTACAGCAAATCGCCCCCAGCCGTCGGGTCTCGGACGGAATCAGGATCTTGTTGCTAGATGATTTAACGAAGATGTATCGAGACGCGATCGATCACACGCAGTTCCTCCTCGACATTGAGCTGCACGGAACGCCTGCTACGTACAACCATTACTTCAACGAAAATCTTCAGCAACTGTAGGTACACCATAAGCTGATCATTCAGTGCTAATGGGAACGACAGTCGCAACGGACGTCTTCACGCTAGCCTGGTTCCGAAAAGCATCACGGACTGTAAGCACGGGACGGTAGTACGTCTGGAAGACATCGTCCGGAGCCATCCGGTGAGCAATGCAAGACACACGACCCTCGAGATCCATGACATATTGTGTTCTTACTACAAGGTCGCAAAAAAGCGATTTATTGATGCGGTACGTATGCAGGTCGCCGATTGCAAGCTTGTGACAGGAGAGAAAACGCCGTTGACTTTGCTATCCGCCCAACTTGTTGCCAAGCTTGATCACGAGACATTGGAGGATATTGCTGGCGAAGAGTTGCAGACAAAGCATGAGCGCTCGAGACTTGAGAAAGAGATCAGTCTACTTAGAGCGGGGAAGAAGATTGTGGGTTGAACCTGACTGTATTACACCAACAGTTACATATCACCAAGTTCATTGCACACACATGGATTATGAGTTCCCTTGCTTTTTCTCTCTACAGTGCTTCTCTTTACTATTGGAAATAAAACTTCTGCCTAGCATGTAATACGGATTCTACCAATAGGTTCCGATAACTAGGATCAAACACAAGGACGATACCTGGTAGACAGCAAGATGAATACCTAGACACCATATAAGATTCATTCGTTTGCCGTTTTAAACCATCGTCATGTCGCACCACTCTCTTACCTACTCCCGTTCTCCCGTCTCCCAAATTCACATGGTTGTATTCTATGTCGAATCACTCAGTCTCCTGCATGTATTCAGCGTCCTCAATGTCGTCGACCTCCAGATATAACACCAAAATTTCTACTGGTGTATGGTCGTTTGGATAGCCCGGCACATCGACGATAACTGGATCGTTCGTTGCTTGTGATAGCTGCGTACTACGCATGAATGTCAGATCGATGACCGCCATATACGACGGCCACCGATCGCAGGTGTTGATCTCGGTACGACTAACGTTTCATTTCCTCTCCCACTTATTCAATGACCAATGAAAATGCCTCCGCGGCACTTCTTCCTCGCGAGGCATAGGTCCGATGGGGGAATCGCACCTGACAATCGATATTCCGCTCGCAATATCCGGCATGGCTTGAGGAAATCCAGCCATGATGAAAGCCGGACTTATTCGGGTGATAGCCGGGTCGAGTTGACCATATTGATTGACCGATGTGCATTTCTCGAGCGCGGCTTGCCAGGTTGCGTCTTTCAGGGCGACATTAAAGGTTTGGGTAGCGCGCGATAGGCTCATGTCGCCAATGAATGTTAATCTGAATGCACGTTGAGGCATATCCAAGTCTAGTAATCCGACTGCTTCCATGAGCCAGGGAGCAATGTACTGATTACTTGTGGTCGCCATCACATTCCACGACGTCTTGAACATGGTCTTCCAGATATCGATGTGGCGATCGATGCGCGAATGTTCGTACTCTTGGCAGAAAGGTACGAGTCATTGAGTGTGACATTCAGGCCATGCAATACAGGCATCGTCTTCGTCCAGTACAATCCATCCTATCTTCTTCCCGGCTTCTGGGCGAAGACATTTCATGTATCTGATAGCAACGGCAGCAGCTGTAAACCGCTTCTTGTCTTCTGCGAAGTAATCGTCTAGGCTGTATCGAGAGAGGTCATATGGCCGCAGCATGTCTACATTCCTTTGCATCTCGTCAAGTTTGGCATCGGTGGGAATCAACCATGGCTCAACTGCTTGGCCTTGTGAAGTTCTCAAAAGGCTTTTCAGATAGATATGCGGTATTTCCGGCGGCCCTGCTACCGAGCCTGGGCAGAACCACGGCCTGATGGTACCCAGTGTTGATGCAATAAAATTGCGAGTGATAGATGGAACTTCTTTCCACTGTTCTCTATACCTGTCCACATCCGTGGAACGTAATGCTTTTGCGTGATCAAGGAGAGGTAGAGACTGGACGTGGATTGTTCGAGCGTAGACACGAGCATCCTTCGTGAAGCCGTGTCTTGCGTATTGGATAGGTCGGTGAAGAGGTGATGAATCTGCAAGCAATTAGGCTTGGTCGAAGATAGCGCAACCATGGTGAAATGCATCTTGTTGTATTTGATAACGAAATTGCGCGTTTCTTCCTCGATGAGCTTGTTCACTGTCCTGAGTGCCATGACGTTCTTTTCTTGGGGCGATGCGACAACTTTGTTGGTTGCTGGATTATAAGTGTAGCCATCTTAAAGCCTGAAATAGCATCCATATATCTCTTCTCGCACCTATACGGGTAAGCCAACGATACCCTAATTTACTAAAATGATATATGGTTAACTTCGTAAGCCATTGTGGTCGCAGACCGTGGAGGCGAATGCGTTGTGATGATGAAGTTGCGGAGGGGCGAGGCAGCTTGGCAAGATTGATCATCGATGTGGGGTCGCATCTCATAGCGGGACGCAACGTTGGCATTCGAGGAGGTTGGGGGGGGGAGGCTCGTCACCTACAATGTCGGACCCAAAGTTACCGAGTACGCTGCCAGAAATCTTGTTTGAAGCAGACCACAGCGTCAAGGCGTCTGGTTCGCTCTCCAACAGTTACCTCGGAAGGCTACGACGGGAGTTGCGAGACGAGGTTTACAAGCATTACTTCACAACGCGTGATGGCTATCGCATCGACCCCACCAAAAACACCTTGCGTACATCTGATGGCAGTCCCATCAATCTATCATTGAGATTAACATGCTACGCAATCGCGAAAGAGACGGAGGGTTTGGCACTTCAATACAACACCATCCACGCCAAAACTACCAAGGACAAGCGCTTCGCAAGGGCAGCTTACATCTCATGGAGAGCAACAAAGAGGGAATTCTTGGTTGACCAGAGCGTTCTGATGCAGCACTCTAACTATATAACGCCAAGTGTAGCCGATGAGATCCTGGACGGGTTTCCTCAGTATAGAGAAGCGCTGGAGGAGATGATCAGCAACGATACCGAAAGGTTCGGTCCAAATCACTTGCGCTACATACCTGCCGTGGCTACCGAAGCCTGGTCTACAGAGCAGAAGTTCGTCTCACGTGCCGCGAAAATAATGAGGGAGCGCTTGGAACTTCCCGGAACACTATTCAGTGCTCTATGCCGAATGTATGATTCGATGCTATCAGACACCGATCGGGACAGCAAACTCCATGTTGGGAGTTCAAAGACAACGCTAACGCTCCCGAAATCTATTTCCGCCGGAGCGATGGAAGGCCTTTGATAGATGAAGATATATCATCATCGTGCTTCTCCGCAGCGGCTGTGGCATTGCGATTTTGGAACGCCCTTGAGCCGAATACCCGCAAGCACATTCGGCAGTTTGAGATAGACGAGGACAGGCGCTCTAGAATCTTTCCCATGTGTCATGCAGAAGGTTTCATCCCGTTGTGGCGAGAGAATCCGAAGCTTTATATCAATCGTCGCGTTAGTCTCAGTACCACCATTGAAGAGGCTAAACAACCTGATAACTCGAATTGACGTCATCATCACGCGCACCATGCAGACAGTAGGTGCTATAAAATCTTAAAGCCTGAGATGAAGGCTGACAGTCGCACAGAACTGAAGACGTTTTGGGATTGGGTCGCCGAGGTCATAGCACTACATGCGTCATTTGACATACCCAAGGAAGCTTTCAGCCTTACCTTTTATTCTGATGTATCGCCTGAAGACACTAAAGAGGTCTTCGATCTCATACAGGAAGCAGCGGCCTGGCAGGTGGCGCTCGGCACAATAGCCAAAAGCGATACCACCAGCAGTACAAATGCTCTTGGATTTAATCCCTTAAATTACCTTTGGGACCCACGCGGACTGGCGTGGCAGGCATTACAGGACATGTCATGAGGCTGCTCGATGATCAAGCATGACTTTGAGATGGGTCAGTCTGTGGATCCAAAGCACTTGTACGATGGCAGTGGTCGCTGGCCCCATGAGAGGTGGGCCAAACACTGTGCTCTAAATGACTCCAGTAGCTGGTTGCCTGAGGCGTAAGTGTCCTATCCTTCAATTTTCTGCATTTCGTAGGCCGTCAACTACACTAGAGATGGCTAGAATACGTGTTGTCGTATTCGGCAAGAACACTATGTGGGAGGATACATTATCGTGCGTACGACTTCGTTACTAACTTATAATAGTATGTAAGCGGTAAATATATACTGCAACATGATTCCTAGCTTCTTTCAAGGATGCTCTGCTTGCCGATATTTCCAGTGCCATTCTGTAATGTACCGCTCAACTATCCCTCGAAGAAAGCAGATCCCATATCGCACAAATTACACACCACATTCCCTAAATATCTACCCTACGACCCACTAAACCCCTTCTCCAACCCCCTCAGCCAGATCCCCGCAGCATATGCCCCCGGATCAGGAATCTTACTCCTCTCACTTCCATCCTCACTAATATACGTCGCGCGCCCAAACTTGGCCTTCATATCCTTTGTGCTATCTGCCTTCTTCTCCGCGACATCCACACTCTTGCTCAAATCCTTGCTCTCAGCCAATGTATTGATAAACGGAATCAACACATCCATGACCGTCCTGTCACCCTCCCGTGCACTAGTGTAGTTCTTGAGGTTCTCGAGGGCGGCGGAGGCGGAGGAAGCCAGCGTAGAGATGTCCAGCGGTGCGTTTTGGGATAGTGTGGCTTTTGACAAAGCGTTTGTGAAGGCGGTGACGAGAATGGAGAGGATGGCGCCGAGGGAGCCGCCGACATCTTCGACGTTTTCGCCTATGCTTTCGAGGAGGGCGAGGATGGGTGGTGGGCTGCTTTCTACGGCGTCAATGTTGGCGAGGATGGATTTGCAGACACCGGCCACGGCTTCACCGCAGTCGCCGTCGCCCATCTGCAGATCGTATTGTGTGATTGTGGGTTCGGCTGCGAGGGCGTCTTTGCATGCTTGACGGAGCGCGGGGATGAGGGATGCTGGTGTGGCGGGGCCCTTGTGGAGGAGGGATTTATCGGCCGCGGCGGCGTTGGCTTTGTTGCGGAGCTCTTTGGT